CAACATAATTGAAGCTAAGAAATTATATGTCCGTATTAAAGAGGTGCAGATAATCTGCTTAGGAAATTAACAACAACTGGAGCAACTATTTACACAGCTAGAAGAATCTCATGCTGAATTACCACCATCGTGGGTTTGCACTTAAATTCTAAGTAAAATGAGAACGAAATGCCTACATTTTACATATTGCTTTATGTACAAAACTACCTTGAGTGCTCAGTGTGAAGCAGCTGCCATCCTTCAGCAGTTCTCTGCTTCCTCCCTTGAGTGTGGACAGTGTAGAGCTTCAACCACGTGGTGGGACTGCTTTCAGTGGGCCTCAGGTGTTCTCAGCTTTATAGAGAAGGTCCTTCTCCCTAGAAGACAAGGGAAGCAACCTGGGCAAACTGCTAAGCATGATCTGGGGAGCGAGAGAGAAGAGGTGGCTCATGTACAGATTGCCAAGTTATTTATTTCGTACTTGAAAGTCCAGACTGTTTCCCTAATGGTTAATTCAGTAAATAAATCTCACAAGCTCTGAGACTAAGGGAAGAGTCATCAATCACAGCTTACAGCCAGGCAGGCCTTGGTGAAAAAGCAGCAATTAGCACTCATTATTACTTGTCTTCAAGTCTTCTTTAGGAAAAAGGCCACCAAAACCAAGTCAAAAGTCCTCAGATCAACCTAGATTCTTTGAGTCTAATATTCCTGACAAACCTTCAGATTCATTCAAAGGGGTTAAGTAAACACACAACAAACACACATGACATCCTATAATTAAAACCAACTAGAAAATAACGCCTTTTTTTGGTTGTTGTTTGTTACTATGGATATGCAAAGAACACCAAATCCTGCAAAGCAATAAGCAAACCCTTTACGACAGAGGCCATCCAACACACTTCCTTCATTTTCTGCTCACTTTCAAACGTCGTCCCTTCCCCAGATGCAGGTGAACACAAGAAGTACCAGGTGAGTTCCCTTCCTGTTACTATGAGATTAGAGAGAAAAATCTATCACCAAGCCTACAGGGTCATTGTGCAGCTCAGTGATGCCAATCACATGGTTTGTAGAAGACTCTAATTGCTGTTCCTTGTCATCGGCTTTCTTCACTACTTAACGTCGTTCATTGCCTTCTGGCAAAGGAGAAAACCCAAATCTATCCCCATTTGGAGATGAATTCGCTCTCTTCTTCACTCATGTGCTCTAAGAGGGGTTGGAACCACTGTGTCCTCAAAGGAGATGGAGGTGGCTACACACAAACAAGAGAACACCAAAATCTTCCACCTGGAACCAGTGATAGCAGATAGAACTGGGAAAGGACACATGGCACCCGCAGGAGATGTGAAGTTTGAGTTTTGTCTTCCTGGATAAGACTGAAATTCTCACCAAGTCCTAAGGAAGCGAGATGAGGAAGGGTCTCAAGGAAGATCAAGCCATTCCTGCAGGGTCCGCAGGCTCCTCACACTGCTTACTTTAGGGCTCAGAGAAGGATGATTCTCATCTGAGATCTCTCCGTGCTCATCTTTGCTACACTTCAGCCAATTTCTTTTAGAAATGATGCCGAGCTCAGTGCCACTCTCCTATTAGAAGATTCTGATCTTGTCTTTTCTAACGAACCGTGTTTTGGTGTGATAATCATCTTCTCTCCCTCTGGCCACTCTCCAAAAATCAACATATTTCTTGAAATACCATGCCTAAAATTGGTCACTGCAGTCCACCATCCCAACATCAAACAATATGATCTCATTTCTTGCATGCATCTCTCCTGCCAGCCCACAATGACACCTACCTTTTTCCTCCCCCCACAGCTTATTATTGATGTAACTTATCCACTCCCACTACACTGCTGCTCTGCCAGCAATTTCCCCATTTTGTATCCGAATGTCTGATGCCTCCTTCTAAGAGCAGCACTTTGCATTCATCTTTATCAAATTTCTTCCCATTCATTTCAGGCAATTTTTTTTCCCTGCACTTTACAGCTGTTTCAAACCCTGTTACAGCCCTCTGAAGTGCCTGCATGTATTCTCAAGTTGGTGACAACCATAATTTTTTATATGGGCTATATAAGAAAATGCAGGCATAGTGGTCTCACTTCAAATACCCTCTCTGACCACATACCAGTAACTATTCTTTCTACCACATTCTGATAATTTAATCCATTTCCTCCTTTTGCTCATCAGAAGAAAGCGAGGCGAAGAAAACATTAAATGTATCCGTTTTCTCTGAATCATTCATCATTTTTTCTCCATCCCCTCATCTTTTCACACTTAATCATGTGCTTCCCTTCCAATTTCTGTAGTTTCATTTTGATTGATCCTTAGAAGTCCTTGCTATGCTATTTTTCCTTCACATTAGGAGATTGCTGCCGGGCCATTAGAAAGCAGCTCTCTTCTATTTCCTTATCCCACCCATCATCTTCCAAACAGCTCAACTGAAACTACCTTCTGACTCCTTATTCTGTTTCTCGTTTCCCTCCTTTCTCAAGAGCATCAAATAACAACTGTGCAGACACTTACTTGAAGATTTTTAACCACTTCTAATAAGCCTGAATGTAATCCAAAATAGTTGAATCTCGTACAAGCCTCATACCTTCCCCATACCTCCTGAAATACAAACTCTGTTCTCTTGAAATAAATCCATTAACGTGGGAATGCTTGGAAAGACTTATTTTCCCAGCAGGTACTGAAGTATAAAATACTTCCCATCTCCACCAGACTTCATTTGTCTACTAAATGTCTAACGTCTCCATCTGACTACTTCATGGATGGCCAACATTTTGACTTGCCCAGGCAGCAGTGAGTGAAGAGGAATTGTCTTGGGCTGCATATACATAGGTCACCCTGAAACTAACACCTCCTATTAATTTCCATGGAAACTACGACAGATATAATGAGCGCAGTAACTCTGCTTGATAGAGAAAACTCTCAGCTACAAGACAGTATTTTCCAACATAGCCAGCACCACTAGCTATGCATCTTCACCAGCAATAACAACAGGCTGCATACCATGCTCGTCAAAACCTGCAGCAGCAGAGGTGACCCACTGTTGTTGTCATCACTGTTGAAACTGCACTCACATTCATTGTTAGGTCTCTGTAAACGTTCAGCAAGCATCAGTGAACGTCAATAGGCACAATTCCTCTTTTTCTGCATGAGAGAATTCAATGGCACACCTTTGCTTCTTCCACACTTTGTGTCAGACACCATTTTCTTAGACTGCCCCTCTGCTGCCATCTGTCACATAGCAACAAAAATAATGGAATATTGGTGGAAAGTTCAACCTCTACTGCCATATCAACAACATCCACCTCTGATGTTCTGGGCCAACGTAATAAAATAGCAGGCATTACTTTAAGAGCTGCCCTTGTAAAATATGTACTACAGAGAGAGCAACAAAAACAAAACTAGTGGGATACGTAGCCTTGTTTTTGTAAAACTAATGCATCAATTTGATTCAGCAGCAGGGGTTGCAAGTCTAAGTGAGTTCTCAAGGTGCTTATCAGAGATTTTCTTAACAAAATGTTACTCTTCCTGTACTTTATTCTTCACAAAAGTTGCTCACAGAAGTACATACAGCCAAAAGCAATAGCACAAATAAAGCCTGGCTGTGAAGCCAAAGTATGAAAATACATACAATTATTTGCCATACGTTGAGTTAGCACTGCAGCTGTGCCCTGGTTTCAGCCCAGATAGTGCCCATCACACACTGATGTTTGGTTGTTGTGAGCAGTGGGTGCACACTTGGCCACTCAGTAGGGAAGAGCCACCTCCAGGAGAAATGCCACATTGTGAGCCATGTCAGGCCACACACGGCCCATGGGCTGGACATCAGCTTCTGTTTTTCCTGTTGTGGGAACATCTAGTTTCTACAGCCTTGGGAATACAGACACTTTTGCTCTACAGCATCGTGCCTCAGCATCAATGCTTCCCAAAAGAACCACATGCCTCTTTGTTCCAGCTTGTCTTCCAAAAATCTCTGCCATGCCCACTAACCTGGATTTTGAGAAATACTGAGTTCCTCTCATATATTACCCATACTGCTGTAAAGACATTTTAGTCTTCGTTCTCTCTCTGCCTCTTAAAGCCTCAGCTCCAATGAGTAATTTATTTACATCTATGAAATACAACAGTCTGGCAGGACCAAGTTCCACACCAGCACCATAGGCAAAAGCTAGATCCTTCAGTTCAGGAAACAGGAACCCACATTTACAGATCCTGGTTGATGCAAGACAGAAAGCAAAATTTTAAGCCCTACTCTAGGGTGTAATCATCTGGACATGAGCCCTGAAGATTACAAATAACAGGTAATGACTGTTTTTTCACTTGGCAGAAATGTTGTTCAGAAAGAACCTGAAGTCTCTCCCGAATGTTTATTTGTAACTAGCATAAATTCTCTCCCATAGAGCAAGGTTCTGAGAAGTCAGCATTTTTGACCAACCAACCTTTCCCCACAACCTGCCAAAATACACTGTTAGAAAACGCCTCATCAGCTCTTCAGAGGACCTCAGGGCAGGCAAAACATTTTAAGTGCCCAGGGGACGCATTGCTACCATAGTTAACACACAGAAATAGAGCAAGTCTTCAAAAGAAAAACAAAAAAGAGAAACACAGTATCTTAGCACAGTGCTAATCCCTTTATTATTATAAAAATCTATAATTACATATTCTTGCTTAAGGACTCTGTACCTTTGAGAAAGCTTCGAGTCTGCACGCAGTAAGCCAGCTATGGCAAGAAATCATTTCAATTCCATAAAATTCTAGGATGGCCATAAACTTAAGCAGACTTTATCTTTACAGAAGTCATCAAGTTCAAAGACACTGTCAATTCAACATCCAGACAAACTTCTGTTGTTAAGACAGCTAAACTTAAGCCCCCAAATATCAGCATTATCAAGTATCTGACATGAATCAAATGTCCTGTTGTCTCTCTCTGTATTATACTTCAATGACTCACCTTCTCTTAAACAGAGATACGTATTTTAACACAATATAATTTCCTCAAGTGACAGATTCGCTATCCAAACACAAACTAAGCAGCATAACTCTGACCTCTGGGGTTAAAATTATTTGCTAGCTGCCAAGCTGATTTGTGCAATTATATTCACTGACAGATACCTTCTGTTCTTCTCCAACTATTCAACACTTCAGAATCGGGACAGTTTGTAAGAGCTAAACTAACTGAAGCCCACACAAAAGTACCAGGAAGTGCTTTTAGGCAGCTTTGCACCACTTTGTTACCCACCTCCACACTACCAATGATCTGCTTTTGAACCTTTTCAACTGGCAATAGTCTCACGAAAGCCTTAAACTGTGACTGTTTGTTTGCAGTGCTTAAACGAGCGCCTGAACTGTGTCTCACTGTGTACCTTTTCTCTGGCCAGCACTGCACCCTGGACATCAGCTAAGTGCAAGTGCTTAAGAATAAGATGCATGAAATTTCTAGCAAGGAACGTTAAATGAAATTAGGAGGATTAACAAGTCATAGAGTGTGACTGGATTCCAACAAGTGCTATTCATTTACTGAAACCCAGAGCTGAGGAAAATTATACTATTTTTAGGATCCTTTTCAGACATAATAGAGCACCTCTCAGAAAATTCAGTCAGAACATCTCTTTTTAGGTGGAAACAAGTCGACAGAGAGAGAGAAGTTTTTAAATTAAGAACAGTATTATCCGTGATGCTGCTTATTCTAATCTTAACTTTCACTCAAAATGTTATGTTGGTAGTCAGGAAGACAAGGACAGCATTGGAAGAGTGAATGGAATAGAACTGTACTGAACTAAGCCACTACGTGCTAATAAGTATTACTTGCAGGGTCATTGGAATCCTGACTCCCACTATTCATTCATCTGAGAGATTAAATACCACAGCCGTTGGCTGTGAAATAATGAAGACTTGTCTGATACTTCTTGCTGAGCTGCAATCCTCCTGTTCTGCTTCCTTATATGGTTCTTCATTAAGCCCAAAGGAAGTTTAAGTTCCTGCAACTCAAAATAAAGATAGTTATCAGTGTTTGGTAGCTTGGTTGAGCAACCTGTTAATTCAGACTGGTCATCTCTTAGCATCACAGGGGAGAAAAACAAACTTTGCTCAGGCTGGAAACAAGCAAAGCTGTTTAGGGACACACATTCTAAGCTAGTTTTCAGTTCCATTGGGATTTGTTCTAGAACAGCTGAACTATAAACACAGAGCACAAGAAAAACATCATGCCAGCATGTCTAAGAGTTCTGCATTATGATCAGTCATGCCATCTTCAAGAGAAATAACAAACTCAAGATGTGAAGGATTGTTAAAAGGCTATTGCTGCAGTTTACTCAGCTAAAGGGATGCTTCAGAGTACACAGGGTCCCATCAAACAAGTCCTGACACCATATTTGTTCCACTAAATATCCAGCACTGAAAGCTGTGATGATGATAAAAAAAAAGATTCAGAAAGCCATCTTACTGCTTTAAACCAAAATTCAGTATCTTTCAGGACAACAATCTGTAGTTATGAAGAGGAACTGCAGGGTGCTATCTTGTTTAGAGATAATCAGTTAGATCTTTAGGTTATGGCCAGGAAGGAGTAACTTCAGAAGAGAAAGTAAAGCTTTTTTGATTTTTAAGTTCTGAAGTTCCCACTTGATTTAGAAACATTTATACACCTTTCTGATAAGGGTGAGAAAAACCTCCTCAAAAGTCCTGTAGTACAACAGAATTCGGTAGAGCCCAGCCCTAAGTTAGTGTCCACCTAATTTGTGAACAAAAAGCTATGGAGAAGGAGATTCCAATGCTTCAGAGTGAAAGAGTAGAGCAGATTCTCTACAGATTAGAGGGGCTGTAAATCTGTGATGTTTAATAAATTATATTTGGTAGAACTGAATTCTTACTCCACGTAATCTTTAGTCAAGAGTTCACTCAAAACTGAAGCTAAATAGTGACAGTAAGAAATCATTTAACATCTAAACTCAGATTTAACATCTAAGAACAGATGGTAACTGAGTGCCACATCAACTTGCCAGCAAAAGCGAGGCAAGAAACACGAATAACTTTACATACACACACAGAGTATCACATAACTGGTCCAACATAGGAACCAGTTTCCAGTGGCTGAGTATCTCCAACAGAACACACTACCGACACCATGCAAACACCTATGTCCAGAAGGCAGCTGCTTCTTAGTCTGAAAATGACCCCCTTTGATAGGAGAAAAAAAAAAATAAAAAAATCAGTACCAAGAGCTTCCATTTCCCCAGTTTAGTCAATTTTCCTTCTATACAAAGAACATGAAGTAGTATCAAGAAAGTACAGAATTTAAGACAAAAACAGTAATCATTTTCTTAAGTAATCCAGAAGAAGTGAGATTGAGTCCACATAAAATTACAGGTTCATGTTGCGTTTAACTATTTATATTAAAGCCAAAGCTGATGCCTGGTATATAATCATGTTAAAAATAAGTTTCAAGGAAGCATTAGTAGTTACATCTGTTCCATGAAATGAAGGAAGGAGCAGCCTTCACAATGAAGAAGAAGTTTTTCCTTGTAACTATTCTGTTTTAAGCAAGACAGTGTCTAAATTCAGAGAATTCTTGATGTTTTAACTGCAGACGAATTAGATGTTGTCCTATTTATGACCAGAGAGTCCAATAGCATATTTCAATAGCATCCATTTTTACATTATGTGATACGAAGGCTGTCAGTTGCACTCAGATTGTTGCTTGCATCACTGTATCATGGCCTTTAAGCTGGAATCCAAGAAGATCTCACCCTGATCCTCCATGTTTTCACGAAGAAGCTTTCTACATTGTTATATAAGCCAACAGACACATAAAGATGAACAGCTTTTAAGTTCTTTTGTTGACTATAAAAGACAGTTTTTCTTTAGCTTAATAGTTGCCCTAAACATAGCTTTTTCTGCATTTCCTGATTGAATTGTTCCACAATTAATTGCGACGCTTCTTGATATCTCAGTCATCATCTTGCTGATTTCTTTTCTGTCAAAAGAAAATTCACAATGTTAGGATACAGCTCCCTGCCTATAGCAGGGGGGTTGGAACAAGGTGATCTTAAAGGTCCCTTCCAACCTAAACCATTCTATGATTCCATTCTATAATACAGTTGTGTGAAGTGAGAGCACTAATAAATCACAAGTACATCAAAGATAAAATGGGTATTAGACAACCACCGCATTTCTAAGCTATTTTTGAATGATATAAGAGAATGTTCCCAGCAATGGCAGCTCTCTCCCTCATCCCAAACTACTGGATTTTATTTAGACTAAAGAACAAGATTTGCACCCCCCAATAACTAACTGGTAGAAGTCAGTAATCAGGATGAAGGCAATCTGCCCTGTCTCCCCACATTTAAAAGAGTCACACTTCCTTGTCACTGTTATTGAAGGAAGAAAGGAATTGCATTTTTCCTAATATATTTATGTTGTAACTTTTAAAGAAGTTCTTAGATGTGTATTTTTAATAGCTGAAGTTGACATTTCCATTTAGACTACATTTATATTTACATTTCAATAAGAAAAGAAATCCACAAGGTTCTTGAGTGTGACTTGTCAAACTACACTCATTGCTTCCCCTAAAGATAAAATTAATTAAATGAAGCGAGATCAAAAAGAGAGCTTGCTCTTCATCAGTGAAAGAAAATACATGCATACATACATACAAAATTAACCCATACATTTTTATGCACACATGTAACCTATGCTAATTATAAAAGCAGTTTCAGGCACTTAGATGTTACCTCTTTACAGGGATCGTATGTAAAAACTTTCTGGTAACTCTTACCAGTTTAAGAAAGTCAATTAATTTGTGAACATCCTCTCCTGTAGACAGGTCCACAAAATCTTTCGGTAGTCGGTAACTCAGGTATGGGCTGGGCTGGACAGTAACTTGACTGTTTGTACAACGAAAAACTGGATAGTCCTTTGGAAAAGAATGATGGATAATGAAAAAACAGTGCCTGAGTAAAACCAGGAACATCATTTGAACTCCTCCATTACAGTGTCTGAGTCACCTTGCAGAAGAGCTTATTTAGCTTTCAGTCGACTAACTTTGCACTTTTTAACAATTTTATATTTTGTCATTAAAAGCCACGCAATTAAAAGCAAGAGTTAGAATGTTACTAACAGTCAAATAGAGTCAGTTCCTCACTTCAAAGTAAAACAAATGATACACTGTAGAAATGTATTTAATATGTATATTTACAATGGTGCCATAGCAATGGAGATATCAAGAAATCTATGTGACTGTGTGTAAAAGAAAAAGTTTACAGTAATACCTCTAGGCCCCTCTTCATAGGTTCTTTCTTTAAACCCATGTTTGTATTAACAAAATTATGATCTAACCTCTCTGACCAATTTATTCACTGACGGCTAAAATACCTCTATGCAACATTCAAAAGTATCTCTAAACTCTCAATTCTAGCAAGGTTTAATTTAATATAAAATTTCACTTTAATGTATTATATATTTAAGATACTCTAGATCTGACAAGCAATACAATTGCTAATTGCATGGCAGTGGGTAACTTCATTTTAAAGGAAGTTCAGTAACTTTTCAGCAGATTTTATTACTGGATGCAAGTTTCAGCATGAAGAAAAGTCATTCTACTCTTCATTCGGGCTTACACCAGAAAAATTATGTAAAGCACTTGGCACCCAGAAAAATAAATCCACAAAACAAAAATGGAAAGCTGGAACTGGGAATGTGCTTTAACAAGGGAGACATAGCTTCTAGCAGAAGAGTTTGCTGAATTTACATGCACCATGAGACTAAGAGAAAACAGTATTTTATTTTCCTTTCAACGTTATGAAAATGGTGATGGAACTAAAGCAAAGCTCAATAAGCTCAATAATGTCACTTGAGTTACAGTTACAAAGAGAAGCCCACAGTATCTGACTAGTCATCTCTCAGACAAATAGCAAGTACTTCATAAGATCACACTAGCTTTCTCTCTTCTATCCAGCCACTCAAGAACCCATTTAGAAGTGAGGACTCATCTCAGACACACAACAAGAAAGAAGCTGGAGAACAAAAAGGCTCTTCCTCTCTCCAAATTAATGGGAAGTTATTTGTTTTCACACAGAGAATGCAGCTTGGAACAGGGATAAAAAAGCACTGCTCTGTAAGTCCAGGGAGTCCAACCAAAGGACAAAGTGTCCCAGACAGTGTTCAATATGAGGAGGATACAGAAGTTAAGCTTCTTCTTGCTTCCTACCAAATATAAATCAACAAAACAGAACTTCAAGCAAATAAACGGAAAAGCAACAGATTTTTAAAAAAATCAAAGAGAGTGGAAGAAATTTAAAATACATTAGAACTGAGTAAAAGCAATTTTCAGGGCATCTTTCTGACAATGAGGTCAAAGCTGCTATATGGGCTTGTAAGGTTTGAACTACAAATTCCCCTGTAGGCATTTAACACTAGCAGGTGCTGCTTACTGAGATAAACTACTGTCAGAAAGATAGATTGATTCTACTCACAAAGAGTTTACATTTCAAGAGCTGAGGACTTTCATTTACTTCAGTGGGATTTGCACCATAATTCAGTTAAGAAAAAAGAAGCAGCAGAGGCCCTAATGCCTTCTGGATTTGCTAGCCAGCTTCCCTGGCAGCAGAGCTGTACCTGTTCTGTTGCTTCCCCTTCACTCTGGTCGCCTTTTAGATTTCTCCCAGAGGTCAGTTCATCCCACGTAAACAGCAGTGAGTCTGTTACTTCTCCAAACGGATTAAAATCTATTAACCAAATCTTACCCTGCAATGTAACGAAAGAAGAATTAAAACAAGTCACATAGTTTCAAATAAAGCCAGAACACGCATGCACTTATACTACTGTAATAGGCCTGGTCTTTAGAGACAAAAATAGATGCCAAAACTGAAAGCATCTGTTCTTACATGCTGAAAATATTGTAACGTACTTTATATAAGGCAAACAGTTTTAAAAAACAGCAAGCTCTGACTTAATATTTTTATTATTATTATTTTAGACAGAAGATCACACAGAGCTCAAATAAACTGAATTCAGCTCCACACAAGGTGCAGTTCTATGCAAGGGTGAAACCACAGAAATCCTCCACGATCCCCAGACAGCATGAACAAGAAAGAGAAAAAAGAAATATAAAGAAATAAAACCCAGGTATTTTGCTTTCCATCAAAAGTCACCACAGCACTCCTATACATTCAGCAGCCTAAAAGGATCGCTGTTCTTGTTCTCAGAAGGGACTGTAAAAATACAGAGCAAGGTCTGCAATTTGCTGGTGGAGATCATGAAAGCTGAAAGATGCTGCATAGACATAGATTAAAAAAAACACAAGGGTATTTTTGATATAACCCTTAGTAGTCCAAGCTAATTTCTCTTGCCATATCTTTAACATATTCATATGTCAAACAGTTCTGGTAGTATGCACAAGAGCATGCTGATTGTACAATTGAAGAATGTAAGCAGAGAGATTGATATGACTTATTAAAGGTAACAGAAGTCTGCCAAGGAGCAAGAAAGGACTTGTGTTCCTTGAGCCATCTCAAGATAGCCCTGTGCTGAAGCTGCACCTCTTCTCACCCAAGGAAGTGTCATCTAATAAAACAAAAACTTCATAATGAAATGTGAATATAGGTGGTACTGAGAACTAGCAAAACAACACCTGCCACATACAGAAGAAATCAGACCTACCAAACAGGGAGACGAAGGTTTCTGAAGCATCAGTGGGATTGAAGGGATTTACTTTGTTTATTAAAAACCAACTGCAAATCACACGTGAGACCTATGCAGTTACTACAAAATTTTGCTTTCCTTTGCTCACTCTCCTTCCTGAATGATCTTCTGTCTTTAAAAGATCCTATCTTGATGTAAACTTCAATGTATCTTTAACTATTATACCACAGCCATCTGTTTTCTAACATGTAGCTTCATTCCTTTGAAGCCTTCAGTCGTAGAGTAACATGGAGACTTCCACCCACACCACCTAAGCCACACTCACAGGCATTTAAGTGCTGTAGAGTAAGAAACGAATATAAACCCATACAACAGCAGAAAACTGCTAGAGGCTAAAAACAGTCTGTCACCATCTATACTGAGCTACTAATGCAGGTTGGGGAAGTCCCATCACAGATGAAACCAGCGATATTTCTTGTAAATGGGAGCTGTGCCAACACAGCAACCTGGCTGCGTACAGACCTAGACAGGTCTCCCTTTCAGGGTAGATCAATTGGGTTCAGCTGTCCCAAAGCAAGTTTTAAGAAGCCAGTGAACTATAAGAGCCGTGCTAAAACCAGACAGCTACAAAAGAAGCTGGGAACTGCAAGGACACAGACCTGAACTGTTTCTTACTTGTTTTGGAAGAGTGACACTGCACAGACCTGCATGGCTAAATTGCAAAACCTCTGAACCAAAATTGACACCACTACCACAGACAGCAAAAAGGGGCAAGCTCTGCTATCATTTTCTCTCTCTGTTCCTCCCAGAAACACAGTCACAAATTCTCATTATAAGCAATATTTTACTTTTGCTAATGGGGACATCTCACTAGCTCCAAGGCATCAGGAGGAGAAATCTGAAATTCAGATTCATTCTATCACTCTAGAAAAACAAGTTAATGAACCAATTTAATCACAGACAGAAGCAATGGCTGGCAAAGTTCATTCTGCAGTTCAGAGAACTTTTCCTTGCATCAGAAAGGTTTACACTCAGTAAAGGATTTCCCCATGACAGGCTCTCTCAGAGACTTTCTCACCCCAAATACATGTAACTACTTCTTTCCAGAAGTAGGAATTCAAGATTGTTTCCTTGGGGAAAAGATGTACCTGGAAAAAAAAACCCAAAAAAACGTTTTTGACTACTGAAAGCAATATTTGGCTGCTCAGGTGCTCACAGAAACATTTCTCCCTCTCTGCAGACAGTGGAACTCTGACTGCAACACCTCGAGACCATTTTAAATCTACGCTGAGCTCCATTAGTTGCAAATGGATGAAAAGTGGCAAACAGTGTCCTTTCTCAGGTTTCATTAAAGGGAATGTACATAGCTCTGGGTGAGTAACTAGACCGTATTTTCTCAAGGTTAAATACTCATTCAAATCTTACTTTGAATTTTATTATTTAAATGTTGTTTGAGGTGATATGCGCTGTATATCTAAAGAGCAATAGTAAAGCTATTTATGTGCAGTCTTCTTAGTAATCTTTATCATATGAGATTACAGAAATGCACAAGAAGCAAGCAAGCAAGGCTGTTCTTATCTGAAGAGGGAAAAAAAAATCATATTATTACATAACTTTTCTTTTTCCCCTCATCCTAAAAAAGGAACTGATAGATTTACCATATCATGACAGCTTCATGTTTTGTTTTTCTAAAGCATTCAGCAGTATGCTGCTGAAAGGAAATGCTTGTGACAAAGACTGTTTAAAGGAAGTTAAAAGATAAAATGCAAACAAAACTGTTACATTTCCCTAGCTGCACCTGCAAGCACAGTGACAATGCTCACAAGGCAGATAGATGCTAGTGCTGGTTTGCATGTTAACAAGAAGAGAGTGATGAATTTGCAGTGGCCTGGAGCTTTGCACTGATTTTCCGTAACACAGTGACTTGTTTTGAACATGGTTACAAGGTGTAGAACTTGTAAGAGGTATTACCAGGAGCAACAGCAGAGCTGAAACTCAGGCTTGTCAGCTCTTGTGCAAAAAAAAAAAAAAAAAAAAAGCCAATCCAAATGGAAACAGGCTACTGGTCCTCCAACATGACCTCTCTAGGGTTAGGTATCCAGATCATCCAGCTTTGAAAACCGTATAACAGCATTTCTGCCTTAAAAGAAGGTCTGTCTGCCAAACCAGAGCTAGCTCAGAAGAGCTCAGTGAAGAGAAAGTAAATGGAAAGGTCAGCCACAGAAAAGTTTGCCCTCAAACCAAGGCACTGTCATTCCAACTCAATAAGCTGGACCTGTGGCAGACCACTCTGCAGCCTCTCAAGCAACTACAGAAAGCGTGGAGCGGTTTGCTCTCTTCCACAGTCACAGTAAGGAAACAAGCTTCTCCAAGCTGAATATTTTAGAGCTGAAAGAATTTAAAATAAGCAGACATCGGACATTTCTCTCATTCTGTAGGTGAGGTTGCCATGCAACCAGCCCGAGGAAGAGCATGGGCTCTGGAAATTAATTAGACTCAGCAACACTCAATATTCTTTCGCTGCCTATATCTCACATACAAAGGGAGCAATGAATAATACAATTGCAAACCACAGAAGTATGTGTGAAAGGAGGAGGATTTGACACACAAAGGATTATCTGGCAGTTTACAAGACTCGAGGGTAGAAGGCACTGAGAGTTATCTACAAACAGATATATTCTATCCTGACAGATGAAGAAATACTGTTTATTTGAGATCACAGAGGCTGAAGCCTCTTACTTAAATAAACTGTCTTCACACTTCAGCTGTGAGGCAGGAGTACCCAAAAGCAGGACTTGGTTAGATGCTGAAGCACTGCTCCGTGTTTCATCTGACAGCATCCTCAAGTCCGATGATTTGAATCCAGGCAGGTAAGTTTCACATGCCATTCAGCATGGCTGCTTTTAGCCTGTAGCCTGATTCTAGATACTTATTGTTTGACAGCCCAGCTTTCACTATACAGTAATTTTCCACATCACGCATTTCTTTTGTTTCTGTTTCGCAAACTGTGGCATGATTTACTATTACACAATTACAAAAAACTTCAGCAGAAGTCAAAGTTTTTATGCAAACTAACTACAAATACTCCTAACTTAACTCATTGACTGAACGTCATCCCTAAAATCAGCTTTTGGATTTTTCAGTTGTGGACTCCTTTAAGACAATATGTGCTGTTAGAGAATAGCTCACATGACCTATTTCTAACAGTTGACACTAGGAGAAGTCAAGGTGGCTAGCATTTCAAGTTAGGATGGGACATTTCTCCCCAGTCTGTCACTATCTGGATGTTCAGTGATCCAACTTGCTGAGCACTCAGAACCACAGCTGGAACAATTTGAATAGAAAAAAAATAGCTTCCATCTGCTTCAAATTAGGAATACAACAATCATATACTCTTTTGATGATCATTCCTTTGTATCCTAGAATAAGAGTCATTTTTCAACTGCTGAAGAACACTCTGAAGAAGTGATTAACTTTGATGAGTTCAGATGCTATAGCGATGATTTTTTGAAGAAAAACTGCTAAGAATCTACTGAATTTCTTTTAGTGAGCAAAACATCACCCTCCTCATTTTTTGAAATAGCCTACTAATTCCAGCTGAACATTCAGCTACATTTCTGTCAAAAGTACCTATAGTAGGCACTATATAGAGTGAGCAGTGCTTCACTTAAGCTATTTATCATAGAATCCTTACAGCTGGAAGGAACTGTTAAATGCCATCTAGTCCAACTCTCCTGCAATAAACAGGAACACCTACAGCTAGATCAGGTTGCCCAGGGTCTTACCCATCCTCACCTTGAAAGTCTCCAGGGACAGGGCATTAACCACATCTCTGGGCAACCTGTTCCAGTGCCTCACCACCCTTGCTGGGAAAGATTTTTTCCTTGTATCCAACCTAAATCTATCCTCTTTAAGCTTGAAGCCGTTTTCCCTTGTTCTATCACCACAGACCCTGCTAAAGAGTTTGCCCCCTTCTTTTTATACCTTCCCGCAGGTATTTATACAAACTGGGGGAAGATCTCCTGGAGAGCAGCCCTGTGGAGAAGGACTTAGGGGTCCTGGTAGATAAGAAGCTGGACATGAGCCAGCAGTGTGCGCCTGCAGCCCGGAAGGCCAACTGTGTTCTAACTGCATTAAAAAAGGGGTGGCCAGCAGGGAGAGGGAGGTGATTGTCTCCCTCTACTCGGCTCTTGTGAGGGCCCGTCTGCAGTACTGCATCCAGGCCTGGGGCCCCCAGCACAGGAAGGACGTGGAGCTCTTGGAGCAGGTCCAGAGATGATCAGAGGGCTGGAGCACCTCTCCTGTGAGGAAAGGTTGAGGGAACTGAGCTTGTTTAAGCTTGGAAAAGAGAAGACTCCGGGAAGACCTCATTATGGCCTTCTAGTACTTGAAGGAGCGTATAAACAGCCATTCCCCCTCCTGTTTATCAGGGTGGATAGTGATAGGACAAGGGGGAAGGGTCTTAAATGGAGACAGGGGAGGTTTAGTTTAGATATTAGAAGGAAGTTTTTCACACAGAGGGTGGTGACACACTGGAACAGGTTGCCCAATGAGGTTGTGGATGCCCCATCCCTCGAGACATTCAAGGCCAGGCTGGATGTGGCTCTGGGCAGCCTGGTCTGGTGGTTGGTGACCCTGCATATAGCAGGGGGATTTGAAACTCAATGATCAACCCAGGTCATTCTATGATTCTACGATCCCTCCAATTACTGGAAGGCTACAAAGAGGTCTATCCAGAGCTTTCTATTCTCCAGGCTGTACAAGCCCATCTCTGAGCAGGAGAGATACTCCAGCCCTCTGATCATTTTCATGGCCTTTCTGTGGACACAAATTCAGACACAGCTGTAATTGAAGCTAAAGTTATGTGCTTCCAGACTACTTGTCTGGAAGAAAATATTTACTAAATAATTACTGGCAAAGACATACTTACAACCCTAACTCTATCACTTTCATCCCATTGACAGTATCAAACGTTGAAAAGGAATTCAGTAACAGAATGATAAAACCAGGTAACTCTTTTTTTTTTTTTTTTTTTTTTTTGCCAGGATCACTTCTAAGAAGAAGCAGCTATTCTTTGATTCCTTTCTCTAGGGTTTCAGGTACAGCTTCCACAGAACAAACATTTAATTGCTAAGGAAATAAACAATCTATTGTTCACTTACCCTGCTGTCTCGGTACACATCAAAAACAACTGAAAAAGAGAGAAAAAAAAAAGTTAATATTGAAAGATACAATTTCCCAGAAGATGTCTAAAACTCTCCTGGAGAAGAGAAGGGAGACCTCATTATGGCCTTCCAATACTTAAAGAGAGATTATAAACAGGAGGAAAATCAACTTTTTACACAGACAAATAATTTAAAACCATTTCCCCTTGTCTGATCATTAAAGGAGGGGAGATTCAGATTAGATGTCAGAGGGAATTTTTTCTCTGAGAGGATGTTGAGGTGCTGCCACAGGCTACCCCATCCCTGGAGGTGTTCAGGGATAGGCTGGATGGTGCCCTGGGCAACCCAATCTAGTACTTGACCTATCAGCTGGCAGCCTTACCTGTGACAGGGAGGTTGGAACTTGATAATCTGTGAGGTCCCTTCCAACCCAAGACATTCTATGATTCTACATAGATACTCGTGTACGCTACACAATTGGCAAAGTCAATACATCTAAAGAAATGCAAGCCAGAATTAGGTTAATTTCCAAGAGGAAGTTGAAAATTTTCAAGAACTATTGTTAATACACTGATAGAGTGTCTGCTGGGCTTTTTCGTTTAATTCTGGCTTGTTTTGTTCATTTTTCCTCCCAGTGGAGATCATCAGATAAAGTCTTAGCATAGAGAAAAGCTTATCACCTACATTACTGCTGTTTGTTTTACAGCAGAACTGAGACATTTCATGGAAGGATAGGCCTCCACTGGTCTCCACTGTGCTAGACATCACATTTAATGAGAGAAAGATCCTGCTTCAAAAAAGGTTAGGACTTCAGGAGATAACAAGACAAACAGGTTGTGGGAACAAAGGGGTCAGTGGGCATGCTGACAATGAGGCACTGAAAGAGCTATGTTTAAAGTAACACAGAGCAGACACTGCACACCTACTGGTTATCAACAGCTCTTTCAAAAAATCTCAGTGATTTAAGTCAAGCTGCTTTGTGTAGTTACATTAGTGCCACTCCCATTGGTTAATTAAGCATAGATCTTTGTACATGCTTCTATCTGTTAGCTTCTGTTCTGTATTGTTAAGCAAACCTTTGATTTGTCTTTCTATTCAACTATGGAAAAATCTACAGATAAGCATTCAGGCACGAGTGCATGCAGAAATGGTACCAGCTCAGTAGAGGAAAGAAAAGCCAGAATTAGAAAAAAACTCAGACAAATGCTGTATTGTCACTTCCTTCACTAATGAGGAAGGGAATATTTCAGCTAAGAGATTTCCCAATTCACATAAGATAGACTAAACTCAGGATATGACTGAAGAATACTTGAGCCCCACAGCTCCTCAGGAAGTTGCCTGTCAATAGCAGACAAGTTGATAGATCGTGTCCATGCATGTAAAGCTGCTCAGCAGCTTAACCTCATGCTTTGTGCTAAGTTGGCTGCACTAAGGCAAAACTCAGGGCCAAAAGCAGTCACATCATTGTTTTTGACCATAAGGCCTAGAAATCTTTTTGCACAAGCTTAGTTACGTCAATTTAAAATGACACTCTAGAATTAAGTGCTGTAACTTTCTCACTAAGACAAACCCTCAGTCACTAATACCAGGATAAGCACAGCAGCTCTAGATTTCTTCCACAGCTACTCAACTGAACTTGTTGCTTGTACTGTGTTCAACAGAAAGCCTTTTCATCTGAGTTCCATTATAAAACAGTGCCTGTCAGCTTGAAGCAAGCCTATGGCAGCAGTGATCATAAATCATTGAGACTGAGTGGGATTTACAACCCCATTAAGACTGATTGCACATTGGTGACTAATTTAAGACACTGATAAACAGCAAACAGAGAGGAAAACTTGCACTGCTCCTTCTTTAGGGACCAACTGAGGAGAAACGAGCTGTGTGCCGGTGAAACTGGAGTAAAACTTAACATCCAATTGCTTAGAACTGAAGGCAAGTAAAGGTGTGGCTCTGTGGCAAGCATCAGTACCTCTGGAGGACTGTTTCCAGTTGGGCTCCTATGAAAGGATTTTAGAAGGTTCTAAAGTATTTAAAATGCATTTGCCCATCTGTTATCTTACTGCTCCAACTCTGCAGTGCTTCAGCTGCTCTGACTCAATTCTTCCATCTGGAGATACTAACAGACCAACTGGAAAAAGCAGAGCAAACAGCACTGAAAGCCCCAGTGAAGCAAGGAGTCAGGGAAAGAGCTACAATACCTTTCCTTCTGAAGGCAAACAAATACAGACTTTCATTGTTAACAACAAATATGCTGCTAGACACTGGAAACAGAGATACGGTTGGGGGTAGGGGTGGTAAGGGAAAAAAAACCTGCAGAAAATGTTTTCTGTATGGCATTTCTCTGCAGCAGGAAGGGTTGCCCATGTTTAGTGCCCAAGACCAAAAGGCTAACTAACCTCCATCCCTGAAGGTGATCCTGAAACCTCATTTCCCTAAAAGGTAATTTGGGTGGCACAGTTTAACCTACTTTACATAGGATACCACTTCAGACCTTTCAGTTCACTAGGCAGCAGTTTCAGAACTGAAATCTGGGCATCAATTGCTAAAAATAGTGCTCTGAATTATTATCTATGAGCTGATTACATACAGGCTGAAATTATGTTGGGACACAGAGGAAAATTAAAACAGTAATCAAAATGTCAGATCTGTATGATTGATTTTACTTCAAAATGTTAGGGCTACAGATCTGATAAATTAGTATAATAATTATATGTATTATATCCAGACTAAAATAAAAGAATCGTGCAGAGCCATTTTTTTTTTTTAATGTCAGTAAAAGACTGGCATTAGAAGGGATCTTTTCAGAAAGTCAGACTGAAAAGATCTGAGTTACCATGGCACTCAAATAGCAAAATTATTAACCATGCTCAAAGCTTACCTAATGGTTGAGTAGTCAAATTTTTACTAAGACAACACAACTGACAAACAATTCTTATGTGCATGTATTTTCCTAAATTGAGGGTTGGTCCATGCCAGAGCAATATAACTTTCTTCATATTTTTCACCCATCTTGATCACATGTCAAAACAAAACACTATCTTAGTTTTCTGACGTGGTTTAGTGAGATTATTACTGATAAAATTTGTAAAGGATTTCATGTTTACAAACTGAGACAATTTAATTAGGTTGCTTAGGTATGGCAGAATCTCAAATACCATTCCAAAGTTTGAGCAGACAAATGCTGTACATCAGTATTCCAACAGACATTTGTACAAGTTCTTGAAAATAACTTCCAGATCTTTTCTTCAGAGAATAAACCAATATTTAGCATAAGACGTCTTTATAAATATTTTTCCTTAATATTGAATGCCTTTTGTTAAGCATTTCTTATCCCGTTACTCAGAAGCTGATTTTTTCTTATTTAGAAACAAGCATAAGGGGGAAAAAAGCCTTTAAAGAAAATAAACAGCAAAAAAACACACAAGTAAACAAATATTTTGTTTGTTAAGTCTTTGTGACTAGGAGTGCAGAAAGTCCTTACAAACCTTCATCAACACCCTCCTCCCCTCACTGTGTTCCCTTTTCTAACTGAAGTCTGAAGATACTTACAGTCTTCATCCAAGAATTTATACTGTATGTGTTTCTTGAAAAACTCCTGTATTGATCTACAGATCTCCTCGTGCTGCTTGGAGATATGGTCATAGTATTGAGTGTAGTCCCTCTGTGATATACCTGTCAACAAATTTAATTGATTATGAAGAGCTTTAGACATGGAAAAAACAAACAAATACAAGAAAAAAAAATCACAGAACAGTGTCAGAGTACACACATTATCATCACTATTTCAAAGACAGGGTTCTCCCAAGTTTCAACCATTAACAATGAGCTGCTGTTTGGTTTTATTCTCCAGTACTGGAAGCATTGCCATTACAAACTTCCTGCCCTATGTTCAATGAACCTCAGTTTACATGCACGCACTCTCACTATTTTTAAGTGAGTTTCAGAAGTAATCTTTGCCTGAGTTTACATTTCCATTTGTTGTCTTGTCCTATCAGTTTCATTTACCCTGTTTACCCTGGTGAAAAACGCTTCCATTTGGAGGAGTGAAATGAAAAGGGGAGAGACTAGGTTTACCAATTAGCAAAGAGGACAAAATTGAACATATCATAAAGATTCTCATTTAACTTATTCACATTAAGCATGAAATAACACATACCTGTTTGATAAGACACTAGAGTTGAAACCTTAAATCCTAGAATCAAAGTGAATACAATCTATAGTATCTTTGTGCCCACCTGAGGACTTTCTTTTGTCTCTGACATTAGATAAATCATCCCAACTACATCACAAGCACTTCATTTCAGGCATTTGTTTGAATGCAAGATGATAGTTTACGTCAACATCAACAGGATTAAACACATCTTAAATGACAAAAGTTCTCATACAGGATATGTCAACATAAACCACTGCAATACTCTGCTGGACAAATGTCAAATTAAGACCTATGCCTCACTGCAAGATGAGTAACGTGTAGTATTTAGGAAAGAAAAAAATCCAGAATCCCACAGAAGATGCATCAATGATGGCAGTGTACTCTTTTAACCATACATAACACACAGAGACTAAGTTTTACTTTAGGAAAAGGCTGACCACCTCCAAAGATGAGCTCTTTCAAAAAGTCCATATAAAGTTTACATCTTAAATGGAACTTTGAGTTAGGAATACCACTGCAAATCTTAAGCCTAAAAATAAAAAGCAAGAGATGGCAGCACTGCAGGGGATGCAGACATCTAACTGGAAAAGCATTTACTACACTTTGCAAGCATTATGCCTTAGGTTGACTGACAGGCTCATTAATTTTAAGAACATGGGAACATATTGTGGAAAAAAACTTGGAAGTGTCTTAGGAAATGCAGTTGGCGTGCTTGTAAAAAAAACCCCATACTGGTAAATTCCCCAGGTTTCAAAACTTAGTAATGCAGTGTGCAGAATGTTTAATTAGGCAGAGTACAAATGCCTTGGGGTATTTGAAAGTAAATATCACCCTCTTTCTCAAGCATACATATTATGCACATGTACGCATTCTGTAACAGATCTACTTTCAAATGTTTTAGAATTTATTACAGTGATGCATATCACTGGCAGTTGTGTTTCTAGTAGCACTTAATCACAGAATTGTTTAAATTGGAAGGAACCTTTAGAGGTTATCTAGTCAAACTCCTCCACAATGAACAGGGACATCTGCAGTGAGACCAGGTCGCTCAGAGCCCCATTCAGCCTCACCATGAATGTCTCCAGGGATGGGGCATGCACCACATCTCTGGCAACCTGTTCCTGTGCCTCACCACCCTCACTGTGAAAGACTTTTTCTGTATATCTAACCTAAATCTGCTCTCTTTAAGTTTGAAATAATTTTCCTTTGCTCTACCACAGCAGATCTTGCTAAAGAGTCTGTCCACTTCTTTCCTCTAGCTCTCCTTTAGATACTGAAATGCTGCTCTCAGGTCACCTCGGAGCCTCTCTCTCTCTTCTCTCTCTTTCTTCACCTAACAGGACAGGATTCTGCTCTTCCTCTTTCAAGAAGTTACATCAATACCATTAAGTAATGCAGGATTAATGGATAACGTCAGCTATTAGCAAAATAAACTCTGTTACAAAGAAGTGCAATAAAGCCTGCAGTTGGCATGAATAGACAGCACCCAGATTAGCAGATCCCCAAAAAGTCTTCATGCAGTTCATAGAACACCCTGATCAAGAGACAAAGGACAGGAAGTAAATTCCTAGTGACTGGATAGGTGGGGACAGAATGAAGAGAAATTATTGACAGCTCCTAACAGGTACAAAAAGGCAGGTGCTGTACTAGCACGTAGTAACTGTGCTCAAAGATGTCAGGAGAAACAACAAGAACTACACAATATCCCTTCACCAGTGAATCATTATGAGGAATCCTGGACATATCACTTACATGCATCCATCTTGGTGCTTGTGAATACGTAGGTATGGGATAAAAAGTGAACAAACTTGCTTTTCTTTAGGAGAAAAAGCAAATCACTTTCCTTCCTGTTAATTCTGGAAGCTTTGCGACATCACTGCTACAACACTTTCTTGTTCGAAGAGTTCAAACAGAATGGTTCTTGTTAAGGACTATTATGTGGTCCAATCCTGTGCCGTTTTCATTTCTGTTCATCCTTTCAAAGATTCCACAGTAGCACGCATCAAAAAGGAATTCAAACTCCTGAGTGATACTCCAGCTGAATTTAAACCCCTCAGTTCAAGCACCTGTATGTGCAGTAGTTGTTTAGGCTCCTGTCACAGGAGACTACTCAATATATCTGGAGCAATGCATGAAAGATAGTTGGAATTCAGACAAATGGTACACCTGCGGATGTATTCTGACCTTCACAACTTTCTGAACTTAAAATTCAAGTGTGGTCACATTTAATTAACATAACAACCAACTGCCTCTGAATTCATTCTGCAGGTTAGGTATGATTTAAATTCTCACCTGAATATAAAGGAAACCCTTACAAAACAGCCTTTGGGTGAAGTTTCTGAATTAGCAATTAGAACCACGAATATTCCCACTGTGAAATTGGCTTACTATGGCATCAGGCTTTCAAAGATTGTGGAGAGGGAAAACTGGCATGCCACAGTTAAGACTACAGACATTAATTCCCAAATTGAGTGGGATAAGGAAGAAGTGTGTTCAGATTCAGCACCAATTCAAGAAATCAGAAAAATTTCTAAGAACTTCATCTAATAATTTAGTCTCTAAGATAATTCTCACCTATCAGCTTGTTTTCCTTGACAAAGCATCTGAATTCTGCACCAGGAATTAGTTCACACCATTTGCGAAGAACAAGCTATGAAGGGAAAAGAAATGACAAAATATTGTTTCAGAGGGTAACTTCTTTTATTTAAACAGGGATATCTTCTAGATCTTTCAGCAGTTTTGCTGCAATAGTAAGACAGTCTCTGATGTTAGTTCTTATAACAGACAACAAAACAATCCTACCCTGCAGTTCATACAAACATGGAATGGCTTGGGTTGGAAGGGACCTTAAAGATCCCACAGCCATGGGCAAGGCTGCCACCCACAAGATCAGTTCATACAATTATCTTAGGAAATACTCAAAAGAATTTGACTTAGTATTAATTTATACATGATGAGAATGCAAAATTAAAAATTATCCTAATAGGCAATAATTTCACAATTTAGAGCCCCCTTTTCTGAAGGCCAATGTATTTAAACACTGATGTCCAGAAAATAATTTAATAAATGCCACTTCTTTCCATAATTACATGTGCATGCTATGTTGTCAGTATGTACATCTGGAGTTCCACATTTCAAGATCCCTGAATGTAGCCCTCTGTAACTGCACACAAATAGGCCACCAGCACTGACTACATCAGATGGTCATGAAGTCCTTCATGGAAGGATGAGAATTTGTAAGTTGAAAGAAGAAAGTTTAGACTGGTCACAGGAAGAAATTTTTTTACCATGAGGACAGACCAGTATCTCAACAGCCTTCTCAGTGGGGTGGAACAGCCTCCAGCCACTGAGGTTTTCACAACCACATTTGACAGCACACCACAAACTCAATTTTATCTCACAGCTTACCTGGCTGTAAGCACAGAGAATTTAAACATGGAGTTATTTATAAAACAACTTCTAAGTTGTGTTAATGATAAAGCATGGAAAACAGAAAACCATGGCACAATTAATCTGCCATGGAGTTGGCAGAAAGTTGCTCTCTAGTCAGAAGAGCTGATGGACAGAATTCAATTTAACCAGATCAAGCTCTACTGTGGTATACACCCAAGCAGAATTCTGTGATGCCTCTGAAAGCACAAGCTGGTTAAAATAAGGACACAGGAACAAAATAGTAACCAAACTACTATCATGAACAAGAGAGAATGCCCACTAATTAAAGCATATCTCCAACAGTCTCTGCTTTCCCTAAATTGAAGCATTCTTCCAAACTACAAAGTAAATATGAAAAACTCTTCTGTATCTTTAAAGCCCATTAAGATAGCACTTCAAAAAAGTACTTATGCACTTTCCTAAAGCCCTTTTAAACCCAAAGGATGATGACAAAAAGCTGTATTTACATGAAAATTATTAGAGACATAACTAGATGCTATCATAAAACTGACAGCACCACGAGAACTGTTTAATGCAATATCTGAGTTGCTAACAAAATATTTTAATGCAGCAGAAAGCATATCTAATGAGATAATATAGACCATTTCAGTTCTTAGTAATCAGCTACAAACCCCAGCCATTACAGCTAGCTTCTCTTAGTAACCTCAGCCGTGATGTTCCCCAGAAACACGTTATAGGGAACATGCAACTCTCAGCTACTGAGCTTCAGCTTCCTGGCAAAACCAGACAGACAATAACAGAAAGCTGCAAGGAAGCTTCACACATCTGAACTTCAGCTTGACTCTGACCCACAACTAAATGAATATCTAATGACCTCAAGTTCTTAACCATGCTTCCCCAGCAACACAAAACAAACAAAAAATTATTTATGGGCACATACTCAAGCACAAGTGGCTGCCTGCCCACCTGTAATTCACTTAAGTTAACCTAGAAATCATACAGAAAGTCTTACCTCATAGTTCAAGGAAGGATCAGGGGAGTCATCAGTACAGTGAATAAATCTGGAAAAGTCACAGGCATCAAAATATGCTTTTAGATATAAGACTCCAGCCACAGTGAGGAAAAATTACTCCAAAAATGTTAATTCCAAAACCACAGCTAAATTACCTCTAAGACAGATAAAGCAAGCAATTTCAGTGTGTCAGAGACAAAACAGAACAACTACTTTCCACAATTATAAACAGTCACCTTTTTTTGATGTAGCGTAGTTTGGAAAAGCCTAAATTTGTACAGGAACTTGGCTAAAACAAGTGCTCATTCAACGTGGAGTCTTTTGCTTAAATCAACAGTGCTGCTCCTTTTGTCTATATTGATATGCAGGCATAACTGGATTCTCAAGCACAAAATGAACATTAAGAGCACTAGGGAAAATATGCTGCAATGAAACTTGATGAAATTGTTAACATTAACTTCCTAAACCAGATAACTGAGACACATCACTGTGCCTTGCAGCACTTCAGGATTACTTTCATTTCCATGAACAGATGAAAAGCAGTGCTGCTCAACACTATTGATTCCACAGCATGGTGCTTTGATAAATTAAAGAGCCTTAAGAAATACTCTTAGAAATCTCCTGAGAATGAAAATGAACAAAACCACTTCCATAACTGCAAGCAGATGTCGAGGTTTTGTCCCTTGTGAGCAGCTCACTGTGTGCCACCATCCAGGAACTACCAAGAACAGAGACATTTATATCCAAGACAATTTCTACATACATTTTTTGCTATTATACAGCAAGTTTTGATAATTCCCTGTGAAACTTACAGGAATTATTGCAAGAGAAAATAAATCTTCCATCCAAACACACTTCCTGACCTTACTGGCAACAAACTACTTTGATGTGCAGAACTGTGCAAAGGGTCACTACTGTGCAACAGTCTTAAATAGCACATTTCTCCTATCTCCCTTTGGCACCGAACTTAAGCAATCCAGAAGTCTAACATCTCTCCTCTAAGCAGTGCACTGTAAGATGTGGCTGCTCAATGCCTTTACACTTTGAAAGCAAAGCATCACACTGCCCGGCCTTCAATCAGAGGCTAAGGGCTCTCCTAAGAGCTTTCTCAGTACACTGCCAGAAGAAATAAATTTTTAGTTTAGGCTTTAATATTCACCACACAGAGAAGAGCATGCTTTCCAAAAGTAAATCGGAGACCACACATCTGTAAGCCTACGTATACAGATAACAGCTACAGTTTATATTCCCAGCAATTTAAGATCTGTCAAGGCAATACAAACACTCCTGAGAGCTTGCAGTTTTGCCATCTTCAAAATTCTCCCCATTGCAATCATATCTGCTTACCATGCTCAAGAAAATATTCCCCACACACCAAAATAACCATAAACTACAGGTAAAAAGGCAGCTGAAGCCTAATACGCAGTGTCCCCCAGTCCCTGCACATTCAGACCTGCATTATCTTTCAGAGAAATCCATATATTTCAGATTGGGTATCTGTAATCCGCTCCATTTCAGTTAGATGCAATCTTTTCCAGCTGTCAAAAAAAACAGCCTTATAAAAAAGTCAAAACCACCCCTTGCTCAGCACTCATATTTTGGGTGGAGGCTACATGGGTGGAAGGGAAGCGAGATATCTTCTGTTCTTTTGTATTTTTTAGCAACTTGTTTCAGGATTAACTGTCTGGACAGCTGAATTCACCCATTACACAGAGCCTTTTCAACATCAGAGGCAGAAGGCTAAGCAGAATTTCTTTCACCTGCATCCTCTTCAGGTTTGGAGGTAACCAGAGGAGCATCAGAGAGACATGAGGACCACAGAATTGAAAGATTTTGCGCTTCCTTTTCTGAAACATCTGAAAATTATCATTTTAAATACTAATAAGCACGAAGGAATTAAACTCCACTGTTTATTGATCTTGTAGTGTGGTCAACAGCTTGTTTACAGATTTACACTTAGATATCAACAAGAGAAGGATAGAGGTCTTTTTCTAAGTAGCAAATGCACGTTAATCTCCAAATCCATACACCTGACAACAGCACACACTACATGAAGCTGCTATGCAGTTCAGCATGCAGCACTGAGAAAAATGATTTAAGAAGGTTTGTAAAATCTCCAGAACCCATCCTGCTAAGAGAACTATGAACTGAGATTATCATCAGAATAAACAATTATCAATATGAGAGCTGCAAGAATCACTTTGTACCAGACAGTTCTGCTGATGTCCCATAGTTTAATTTAAAACCTTAATAAAAAAAAGTCAAAGATATATTTCTAACACCAAGAAACATTCAGCCTTAAGGACTACAAGCAAATAGGAGATTCAGACACTACCGAAAGAGAATCTTGTACTGCCTGCACTGCAAATTCCTAGGGAAAAAATGGGTATGTGAGTAAAACCTCAAGAAAAGAAAGTGTAAAAGGCCTCATATCCCATCATGCAAAACTGTTTATCTTGAAATGTTATATTCAAGTCTTAAGCAACAGGTACTGTCCTTAGCAATCAGGGTACCTTTTTGCAAGTCACTTCTTCATGAGCCAATGCTGCCTCCTATGTTCCATCAGGAGAACACAGTCTGTCACCCCTCCACATCAGGGAAAAAAAGCTTCACAACTTCTTACTAAAAATACTTCCTAGTTGAATGAATGAAGTTTAGTGTCAGCAGAGCCATATTTGACTCTCTTTGAGTCAGGCATTTCGTTATTCATAAGTGATCACTTTCACAAGCATCCAGGTTTGGTTGGTTCCACCTGCTCCTGCCTGGGCCAAAGGGCAATACCTTCCAAGAACAGCTTTTGCATGAGGTTGCTTTTGACTAAGGTTGAACTTCAGCTATCTGATTTCATCTCTTCTGATGGTTGTTTAATAACCACAAAAATGCTGTGAGGTTCAACATCCCAACAGTGACATCTGCAGATCTGAAATGCTCAGCACTACACTGCAGAATCATAGAATCCATCTCCCAAGTTCAACAAAATTTCTAAGGTTTACGTTCTGCTTATTAGTGACAACAAGCCTATCTTTGAAAGGGCATTACCCTATCATTAAAACTATTGCTACTGTTTATAGCAGCCCTGGGTTGGGGGGGGGTATTTACTTTCAACAAAATGCAGCCCAAATGTTCTAATAATTAGCAAGAAAGCTATGTACGCTTTCTGTCCAAAACAGGAGTGTTAATCGCTTCACAGAAATCCCAGTTAGAAAAGGATTTCTTCTGTCACACAACCACAACATGAAGTTCTTGAAAGCCTACATTAAAAACTGGAAAGTCAAGGATCACACCACCCACAAGTTTCCTGTGAACTCAGCAAAGTAGAATGTAGTGCTTACTTGAAGCAGAAACAATGACTACGTTAACGAGAACGTTGCTCTGAAGTCTTTGCTAACTTATGGCTGTTCCAAGAGGAAAGTTAACTCATTCTGAGCTTTTAAACCAAACAAGCGCCAACATGATGAGAAAATCCAAACATTTAAATAGTCAAAGCTTATCTAATCACACTCTGTATCTGCAGTAAGTCCGTATTTTTCATAGCTTGTGTTGAGGTATTGCATAGCTCAAGTTTTCTCAGAACTGGAGACAGTTAAGAATTGCAGCAAGGGCATTTAGGGCACTTCCCTGACCTGAACAACAGATAGATCAATATCAGAGAAGCAGACAAGAAACAAGAGAGGAAAGATGCAGAGAAAGTGATTTTAGTCCCACATCACTGACAATGCTACGTCAAGAAACAGATCTCCAACTTGCCATTGTAAAGTCTTCTCTGTGTCACAACCCAGAAAGTGTATTTAAGTTAACACCACTGACCAGGAAAAAGAATAAACAAAAATAAAAAAAAAAATGTTAATTATGCAGGCCAAGCAGCTTTTAGAACACCCTGAATATTAATGAAATAAGTAGAAACATAGCATTTCTATCCCTTCTCCTTACTCTGATCAGCTCTTCCAAGGATTTAAATATATTATGTTTTCAATTTTTGTTCGTTCAGCACTTTGGTTCTTATGCCAACTTCACTTCTAGTTTCTGCTTGCTAAGGACTGCAGAGCTGGCAGCTAATCAATAGCATAATTAAGCCTACCTCTGTAACTCAGCAATAATTATTTCCGTGTTTGGATGGGGACATTTTGTATTAATAACTTGGCAATTTAGATATATCATGCACAGACCGGACAATAATTTGTTCTTTATTCACAGATTAAATTGTTTCTTATTCACAGGATACACAGAAACCAAAGTGCTTTCATATGTGATGTTCATCCTTCCACTCAAATTCACAGACTTTATAGGAAGGGAAATAAACACAGTGCTTCTTGAATGAAACTTCACCTTAACCTTGGGATTAAATGACAATCTGATAAACACATCATGAGGTTGGTTTACCTACCACCCTCTGAGTTGCATTACCCAACTGTGCATCCCATTTTAGCACTCTGGAAGAGGAGTGCAAATGGACTGAACTAGGACAATCTGAGAAGCTTTTCTGCTGGAGGTTACTTTTCCCCAAGCAGGATCAGTAGAAGAGAACATACCTGCTAAAGGCTGCTCAGCCAGCACTGCTTTTAGTTTGGTGTGAATCTAAGGTGAAATTACTGATGGCTCAAGTTAACACCTATGCTGTGAAATTTCACAATATAGGAATGCATTCACTGCCTCCTCTGTAAGTCAGTGCTGTCTGCAAAGGTCAAGGTGAACAGCTGAGGCACTAACCTGGCCTGATGTGAGATAAAAACCTTATAAGAAAATGTACCAAATGCAATCCCATATAAAAGGCATAACCTAAAAGCACACACAAGTTTAGTTGCCACAGCTTTCAAAAGTGCACAGTGCTTTCTAAATACTTATAGAATCATAGAATCACAGGGTTGGAAACGACCTAGAAGATCATCTAGTCCAACCATCTTCACACTGCCACTGCTACCACAAGCTACTAAACCATATCTCACAGCTCCTCGTCCAGATGCCTCTTGAACACTGGATGTGTCCCAAACATTAGAATGGGGTTAACCAAGCAAGCATTCACCAAGGAGGTTGGGGTTATTTTTGCTCAATTTTTTTTATGCATGAGGACAGTAGAATACAGAAAAACCCACATGTATTCACAAAGGACTTGATACAAAGTGTACAGATGTTTTCAGACCCCTGAGATACTTCCAGCCCTACAAGTTACAAAAAAGATCACATTAGGACAGTTTGCTCCAAGGGTTACCAGGCCAAGCAGCCTGGTCTCCCATCAGTGGAAATCATGAAGAAAAGCTCCTTAGTAAGGCACCTGAGAAACACCAAGCACTCAACTCCGAACTGCAGATGGCATCTCTTTTAGCACTTTCATTCTCTGTGATCCCAGAACCTTAAATTCACAGTGCTTCCAACTGTTTTCCCAGTCTAACACACTTTTCTAACTGTCTTACCACTCCAACATCATCTCCCCTTTTTCCCATTCTCCTCCTCTCCACCTCATACTGTTACAGGTTAGATATAACGTAAAACATAGTATCAGAATTGGACTGACAGCACTGCTAGCACTCCATAAATGCAGAGATAAGGATGAGGATGTTGTTACCTATTCATTATTTCAAATGCACCAACAGATCACAGGGGAAAAGAGTGCTATTAGAGTTACAGAAACAAAAAGGAAGGCAGCAGTTGGACTGCATTAATACAGATGGTTTCATGTTTTAGACAGTACAATTCTCACCAGGTCATTAGCTACATAAGACAAGACTACTGTGCTTGATAAGCCTCAACAAAGTAAAAAAAACCAAGAAAATCACCCCAAAACATTAAAATACCACTTGCTTGAGAAAGCAGCTCAATAAAAAAGGCCTTAGTTCATGGTGTGATTTTACATGCTGTACTTCTGTATGCCTTCCTGGTTTGCTTTTCACTCATTTATGTATCAAAATTAAGCAAATAAAGTATGAGAAGAAAATGGAGCCTACTTCTCTCTTGCTCACTGAAATTAGGTAAACAACTCCAGGTTACAAGAAATTACTCACTTATGGTAAGTAACACTGACGATAATTTGCCTCACAACTCCCTGCAGTAAACTGGTCCTGGTATTTATTTTTGTGTAGTGCAGGGAGAAAAAGAGGAAGAAAGACAGGAGAACGTTTCAAAGAACAACTACTTACTGTACTTCAGATTTACTTGATTAACAACTTTTATACAGAACACGAATCTTTTTCTCAAATACTTATTGCTACTCTTCAGTAAAGAACATCTTTCCAAGGTACTGAAGAACTACCCTCTGTGGGTTAGGGTTTTGGTTTTTTGTTTGTTTGTTTTTTGGGTTTTTTTTTGTTTTTGTTTTACTAGATAAGGCTGCTAGAAATCTACTTACGGCTGAGTAAGGTCACGAGTAATGAAGTCTGAACTTTTGAAGAGGAGGAAAATGTCACTTAGAGCTTTACATTTCAGAGAGCTATTCATTGCAATCCAGTAAGCATCCTACACAGGAAAAAAAAAAAAAAAAAGAGGATTATCCAAAAACGTAGCTTTTCTAGCAGAGAGTAATGAGTCTATCAGAACTAAACATTATGCAACAGTTGACACACATACAGAAAGTATTTTTTGGATTTTGAGGAAAGTTTCGTCAGCTGTTAACATAGAATAGTTACGTCTCTTATGAATAATCTGCTGAAAGTAGACCAAATCTATTCAAAAAATGTGTTGCCTCACTTCCAAGCACTTTCCTGGAATGCTTGAGCACTAATTTCCCTTGAGAATATAATACAAAATCACTTAGGGGCATCCATTCTTAAGGTGTAGTTAGAATGTCTAAAAAGAACTAGAGGGAAATTTATCGCTTTTTTAAAAAAGGAAAAATGATTATTTTTCTTTTTATCCCACGTAAGGTTTTCAACTGATATCCTGAATGAGGAGAGTATGGCCACCACACTGTTACCTAGAGCAAAGACAACTAGATGTTATATAAGACAGACTGTGCTATCTTGCATCAGGCTCACCAAACAACACACCACTGAGCTCTAATTCACCAGAGCAATTTGCTGTATCAAACTTAACTGATGTCATTTATCACTCCCTTCCTTATCAGGCTCACTAGTCTGCTCTATTTTCCAATGCATTAAGATAAATCAAAAAATTCTGTGTGATAGCATCTGTTACAAGTTTTAGGAGTCAGCATTCTTACCCTTGGAGCACTCCAGTTCAGCTTAGGAAAAACACTGCCACCCAAGGAACTTATGGCTTCTTCAACTTTAGCTGTAAACTCTGGAAACTCTGGTGCCTGAAGAAGGAACAAGAGCAAGACAAGGAAAAAAATAATAATAAATGTAGTTAATGCAGAACGTGAGTGACAGCTCACTTAACTTTTGGTTTTATAAAGTGTTTCTAGAAACATTTCAAATAAAGTCTTTAAAGTAGCTTAGTAATACAAGCCAACTTGCATCAAAATCAGGACACACTCTGAGGATACACGTTGGAACAGAAAACTTTGACTTAGAAAGAATATTGCAATAACTGTAAGCATAAGATAGGAGAAAAAAGGCCAAAAAGCCATAAGCTCCACTCTTAATGTGGAACAGCACAAAAAAGAAAAACAAACAAAAAAAACTACTGACTGCTGACCTTTAAAATAATAGGAAAGTATTTGTATGTGTTTCAGACATTTTAAAGATGTACAGGTCTAAAGCCAACACTATTCCTACCTACATCTGCAAACATAACCCAAAGGTAACTCCTAGGTTAAAGCCAACTGAGCTCTAAAACAAAGCCCTCACAGCCATATAAGTGACCATAAAAACTTTATACATTCTTGTACATCCATCCTGCAGCCCCTCACAGAGTGCACACGCTTTAAATAAATCAAAAAAAGAAGTACAGCAACCTAAACTGAGCTTTCATTCAATCTCTGTGGGAAACCACACTTGAAAAACTGAAATAAGCACTTATTCTATTTCATTTTTAGAGCTTCAGTCACCTTTAAGGAAGAAAAAAGAAAAAAGCATTTCAGTAAGAGGTAAAACTCTTCATGCACTGCATTCTAACCTCCTCTTGTTCTGATGGAAGCCAGGAGCCATACCACATACGTAATGTCAGTACATATAAAAACACACTGAGAAAACATTGCTGTCGTCTCATTTGATGAATACAAGCGAAAAAACATTACACAAAAGAAGAGCTTTAAGGCAGCATAAATAAGTTAAATTCTAACACTGACCAAATTCCGGATGTTTGACATTTTTACATTTGACATCCTATGTTCTAATTCTTCTTCAGAATACTGGAGGGGCAAGGGAAACAATTTCTATCTCGTGACTCAGGTGGGGCACCGAACAGAAATATAGTCACAATCCACCTTATAGCTCTCTGACAATAAAAGCAGATGGGAAACCAATCATAACCCAGGATTTACCATTAGTGTAATGCTATAATGGGATGATAATAGCAGGGTGGCAGCCTTTGGTTACAGCAAATGAGAACAAGCCCAAACGTAGCAGCCACAGATACAGAAATGAAGGAAAAGAGCTGCTTACATTTGGAAGGCCTCAGGTAGGCAGGGATCTCCAGCAAGAGATGCCCCCACCTCCATTGCCATCCTTTTAATGAGTTCTGGGAAGAGGTAGATCCTGGCTCCACCCCTTCCAGTCACTCAAGTGCATTGCTTGCACCTGAGCTCCCTGGGTTACTCTGCCTTCCCACCAGTTGTTCAGTTGCTGTATCAGGCCATGACTTAGCATTTCTACTGCTATTAGGAAAACAGTGTGCCCTAGGCTGCAGAACAGTCTCCAGCCTCCCCTACTTTTCTTTATACATCACGGTTCCTATTGTCTCCCTATTCAGCTTCCACACTGCTGCTTGATCCATTCCTGTGTTCTGCAGTAACCCCAGGTGCAGCTCCCAGTTTTGTGCTTTCTAGACAGGCTGTTTCTTTGTTCTCTTCATCACTGCCAGAGTGGTAACATGCATTACATGGAAGCACAGGAGACTACTACCATTCACTCTTTATCCTCAGAACAGCCCTTAGTTTGCACACAGAGAAAGCATATTTATCATGGTGCCTTCAGTCTGATCACCTCCCCCAGATTTACAAGAAGGTACACGGCACATTGTGAATTTCTACTTTAGATTTTTTTGGTGTATTTCTGTTGGAAATAGCCATGGGCACAACCCACACCCATAATCAAACATTTTCAAAGCTGCAAGGTTGATGAAAGACAAAGCCCAGCCAGTCTCTGAACAAAAGCCACCCTGTAAGCTTGAAGTTCTCTTCTTCCTCTACCTGTTTTGCTGCTAAGTAAGATATTCTGTGGTATGGAATATCCCTTAGGACAGCTTAGGTCAGCTGTCCTGGCTCTGTCCCTTTCTCTATGCTTCCCAGCAATTAGGCTGGGATTGGAGACAAAAATGAGGACACAGTCAGAAAAGAGAAAGTCTTGATGCTATGCAAGGACTGCTCAACAACACTCAACATGTTTGTGTGTTATAAATCCTGTTTCAGACAAATCCAAAACACAGCACCATATGGGCAGCTCTGAAGACAACAAACTACATCCCAGCCAGTCCCAGTAAAACTGGAGTTACAGAGCTGAAATCCACACACAGTACACAGTTCCTTACCTGGCTAAACTGAAATCACTTGGCCTATACCCTTCCAGTAAATATAATACATCTTAGGATGTATTTTCATATTGTGTTGTGTAAGGTTCCAACCTTAATGATTCTATGATTCTGATTCTAAGCTGGGCACAGCACAAAGAGAGCATTAAAACAACAAAAAGGGGAAAACCAGGCAATAGAAAGCAAGGTACTGGGGAGGAAATAATGGCAAAGGTATAAGAGAAGTTCTGTGAAAACTGAGCTGCAGGGATCTTCTGCATTCAGTTCAATTAAGTAATTGGAAGATATTCAAAGCAGTGAAAATAAAAGGCAGCTATATTTAGACTAATCCTTCAGTTCATTTCCTATATTCTAAAAAGCATGTGATTGTTGGGAATGAAGAAAAGAAGCACTTTATTTTTAGTTAAATAAAATTAAGCCAGCAGAACGTTTTTAAGGTTGCAAACACCTACACTGCCATCTAGTGATAATGATCAGAAAAATGTTAACTACAGCAGACATCAGTAACTGACCACAGGCTTGTATCACAAGGCTCAGAAAGAATATTGTTTACAGACCCATGCTGGGATTTTAGAGGACCTTACCTTAAGTGTTGCAGTATTCTCATCATCTGACCACTGTTAAGAAAAAGAACAAACCCAAGGTCAATGGCTTCCCATGGTATCATTTATAACTTATGAGGACATCAGAATCTATACAGCTTCCTACAATATGTAAAAATCATTGCCCTGCTTTTTCTTCAGAACAATATACCTGTTCTCTAATTATTACAGTTATAAATTAAGACAGGAAAAACTGTGTTCAAGAAAAGTTCTGTTGTGAAGTACAAATAAGAGATGACACCTATATAAGATGATTGCGATTCATGTACAAGATTTGGTCTGCAAAACTGTGGAGTCTTTCCTATCTAAATTTTGTCTATGCCCCCCACACTTCTATCACACATTCTATCAGGGCTTGGAGAATATGCCCTACAAAGAGAGACTGAAGGAAGTGAAGCTGTTGAGTCTGGGGAAAAGGAGGCTGAGGGGAGACCTTATTGCTCTCCTCACCTGAAAGGTGCTTACAGCGAGAGCGGGGTTGGTCTCTTCTCCCTGCTGACAGGTGACAGGATGAGGGGAAATGGCCTTAAGTTGCACCAGGGTAAACTTAGGTTGGATATCAGGAAACACTTCTTTTACAGAAAGGGTTGTGAAGCACTGCAATAGGCTCCCCAGGGAGGTGGTTGAGTCACCATCCCTGGATGTGTTTAAAAATGGTTTGGATGTGGTGCTCAGGGACATGAGTTAGTTGTTAGAGTTAGGGTAGTATGGTTAGGTTGTGGTTGGACTCGATGATCTTTAAGGTCTTTTCCAACCTGAGCAATTCTATGATTCTGTGATTAAACCCACAATCCACTAGTAATCCACTTATATTCCTCTTTCTCACCCCTTTTGTACTTTCTGTCATCTTGCTTTTATAAGACTTTCCAGCATTTTTTAATTCTGGAATACCTCTGAGTTATTACAGCCTTAAGGACTTTCATTATTTCTTGACGTAACTCCTCTAAATACACTCCTCCTAATCTTTCATGGCATAAAACAGCAATATTTTCCAGTTCCTTTATCTCACAGCATCCCCTAGTCATTATTAGAAATGTAATTAACAAGAAAAAGCGTGTGATAGAGCACAGAAAAACTTCAAACTTTTCTTCATGTCACAGTAATAAATAATGATGTTTGTAAACTTTTTCCAAGGCAAATATCATGTGATTATCATTTTGGTGAAGTACCATCTTCACTTGTAAAGCATGCAGAAATGGTTACATGTTAACATCAAGTCTCTAAAGGAAAAACAAAGCTGAGGTATTACTGACCTGTATTTCCTCTGCATCATCACTCCCCTCTGGGGTTTGAGTTGGTGGATCTTCTCTAAGCCAAAAAATGAGCAAAGAAAAAAAACCAAATGAGCACTGGAGTTTGAATTGACCATATATAATTCCACAGCAACTACCAACTGTTGATCTCAGAATGCTTTCCTAAGAGGATTAAGCCCCAAAACCCCAACAAAGAAAACTGGAGACAAAACACCCCGACACTGGACTTGCACCCTGTCCAAAACACTTGGATTCTTTCCAATGAAGAAATCACTTTCTGTTCTGAAAACACCGTAACCCAAGCTTTTCCACACCCTATTAATCATTCTTTTTGATCTTTTCTGTACTCATGCAGTACCACTAACTTGTTTTTTAAAAGATCAACTTAAGTTATGCTTTGCCTTCACACTCCTTTTCAAGAAAAAAAAACATAAAAATAACAATTTGAGTTCCAAATGCTGACCCATAGACTGTTGGTTCTGAAAACAAAACACCCTCACACTTCGCTCACAGAAGATCCTACTTGAAGTGGTTACACAGTCATTAGCTTCCTCCTGGGAAGTTCCTTTTTCTACACAGATGAGATGTGCTGTTGTACACACTAGCAGCTCTGGGAGAAAGCACTTGAGTGCAAATATTCCCTTGAAATTTGAAGTGATTTTTGGAGATTTTTTTAGCCCATATGACTGAGTGGTCTTTAAGGCAGAAGAAGAACAAGAAGGTGGCAAATCAGCATAGCAATCAGGTTAAGTTCAAATTTCTGCAGCTAAGTGCTGCTAGCAAAAATTCAATTCTTCAACAAGCCACATTTCTGCAATACATTCCTTAACGCACTTTCACAGGGATCAAACTGTCCATTCAGTTTTTGAGATCTAGAGCTCAGATCAGAGACTCACTGAGGTTTAAAATTCGCATCAGCCTTGACTGTAAGAAGATCACATTGACTTTTAGCACTTCTAGCTAAGAATGTTCAACTCAAGAGAAAAATGAGTTTTTAGGAGATAATTTTAAATTGGAATTATCTTAATATAACTGAAGTCAATTATACAGATGTCCATTATTCCACTGAGATACCAAACCTGTTCATACAGCACAGCTGTGAACTCAAACCCTCTGTTTCAGTTTTTCTGAAGTCTGATTACAAATTAAATGGCTGTTATTAAATAAGTTACAATGTTCTGCAGAAGGCAACAACATTACTCTTATCCAAAATGGTTTTAAAAATCATTCCCACTTTTCATCTTTGCAAGGTGTTTAAACAGCTTCAATTCACACATTTTGTGTGAATTGGCTCCCGAGAAATTAGACATAGCTCCTTTATATTCATAGTCTAATTGGTTGCTCTGTGAGAGACAAACTCCTCTGAGTCTGGTTACCAGCAAGATGTATGCATGCAATAATCATTTTATAAGGGAGTTATACGGTAAGATTCTAAGCTGAAAACAAAGAATAAAGCCTGGGTTCATATAAGTTGTTTTTCTTAGACACCAATCTCACTCTTCATTCAGAACATTAGCATTGGTATACAGGCAGTAAGTTCAGCCTCATCATATGCACTGATTGTAGGTAAGCAAATGATTATATAACCTCAGTAATTAGTAAGATTTCATATTTTATTTATATTATTGAGAATTCAACTCAAGTAAGGACACTCCATCCCTGTATGAATCTGCAGGCATGGGAATGCTGCAGCACTGTTCAAGGCATTGAGCTGCAACCAGCTGTACCAAAGCAAACAAACACCTTCAGGATGGGCACTGACACCTGAGAACTGTTAGACTCTGGAAGGAAAAAAAAAAAAGAACTGCCCCTACCTAGTCTGGAATCACACACATCGTATGGATTTGGGGATCTGCATTAAGCATTAGCAAGTCAAATTTTACTAATAGCACTACTTTGTACACACACCTTCATACAGTACAAGGTTTACTGCAGTGAGACTGGTCAAATTTACAAAATTAATTATGTAAGTTACAATAAGTGAACACAAATATCATTGTGGCAATAAAACAGCATTAACACTTGAATGGTGGACAGTAAACACTCCTTACCTTCCAGAAACCACAAGTGTTCCATCATCCAGCAAATATTCTTTCACATTCTCTGGTAGAGGAAGTATGACACTAGGGAAAAAAAATTAAAAAGAAAACAAGAATTACTTTAATAATGTATTAATAATATTACTTACTAAAACAGTTAGATAATTATTTTTTAATGAAACATACCATAGCAGTACACTTTATTCTCTAACACTATGAAAATACAAATTTCTATTGCTTCCCCTCACTCCTTCCCAAAAAGGAACTCCCTTTTTCCCTAAAGGGAAGTACAGGAGAAAGACAGAAATTTTTGATGAAATGAACAAAACCACTCTAACTTTTCAAACTGCTGGGAAATACAAAGAAAAGATGTGTGGACAGTGCAGGGGGACAACATGCTGTTCACAATAAAGTTCTTCCTTCTGAGTTGCAAATCTAAATTTGCCTATATCAACATAGTGTTCCAAATATCATAGAATATTTTCAGTTGGAATGGATACCCAAAGGCCATCTAGTCCAACTATCCCGCAAGAAACACCTACAGCTAGATGAGATTGCCCAGAGCCCCATCTAGCCTAACCTTGAAAGTCTCCAGGGATGGGGCATTCACCACATCTCTGGGCAATCTGTTCCAGTGCCTCACCATCCTCACTGTAGAATACTTTTTCCTTATATTCAATCTAAATCTCCCCTCTTTAAGCTTGAAACCATTTCCCCTTGTTCTGTCACCACAGACCCTGCTACAGAGTCTGTCCCCTTCTCTCTTACAGCCCCCCTTTAGATCCTGAAAGGCTGCTCTCAGATCACCTCGCAGCCTTCTTTTCTCCAGGCTGAACAGCCCCAGCTCTCTCAGCCTGTCCTCATGAGAGGTGTTCCATCCCTTGGATCATCTTTGTAGCCCCCCCCTCCAACATATCCACATCTCTCCTGAACTGAGGACTCCCCATCTGGACGCAGTACTCCAGGTGAGGCCTCACCAGCACAGAGCAGAGGGGCAGGATCACCTCCCTCGCCCTGCTGGCAAGGCTACTTTTGATGCAGCCCATCATACAGTTGGCTTTCTGGGCTGTGAGGGCACATTGCTGGCTCATGTCCAGCTTCCCATCCCCCGTTACCCCAAGCCCTTTTCAGCAGAGCTGCGCTCCATCCCTACATCCCCCAGCTTGTCTGGCAAGGGTCTGCCACAACCCAGGCACAAGACTTCGCTTTGTTCAACCTCACGGGGCTCAGCTGAGCCCAGCGCTGCAGCCTGCCTAGGTCTCTCCGGATGGCATCCCGTCTCTCGAGGTGTAAACACGACGGCTCTCACTAAATGAGAATCACAGACTGAGCTGGGAGGGACCTCAAAGCTCAGCTGGCCGCAACCCCTGCACTGCGCCTTGTTGCCACCCACTGAAACAGGCAGCAGATCAGGCTGCCAGAGCCCATCCCGGCCGTGACCGAGCTGCCTAAACACAGGCATTCGGCGAGCATGAAAACTCAGGAAAAGATTAAACGTTTCGATCACTGAGTCACTGCCTTCGGATCCGCCAAGGCGTTTTCCTCGAGTTCTTCCTTCCCGACCTCCAGCACCGCCCCGCACGCAGCCCCTCACCTGCGGATGGTGACGGCGCGGAACAGCGGGTACCACACGGAGAACTGGCAGTGCGCCACCTGCTCCTTCTTCATCCTCTCTCGCAACCCGGCCCGCTCTTTTCCCCCACCGTTCCGGAAACTCCCGCTTTCCCCGGAACCTCTTCAGCCGTTCCCGGAGCCGCCCGGACATCTGCCGGCTGCGCACACGCCCGCCCCGGCCCGCCCCGCCCCGCTCTGCTCCCGCCCCGCCCCGCTCTGCTCCCGCCCCGCTCCGGCCGCCGCCGTTCCCGCCTCGCCGCGCTGCTGTTGAGGAAGACGCTGGCTGTAAGCCCTGTGCCGTCATGCCAAGGCCGGCTTGCTCCTTCTCAGTGCTTTCTTTAAATCTGAGGCTATGCTCAGCTCTCCTAAGATTCCGCTAACCCAGTTCTGCTTGTACAAACCTGCCTTTTTCCCTCCATTTATTTTTTTTTTTTAATCTGTAGGGCAAGGGCCAGTTAATTATCCCTGTTTTATTTAGCCCTGAGTGATGTGTAGCAGTCATCCACACAGATAAATACATGAGCAGAAATGAAGCGTTTCTCCTGCTGCTTGCCTCTCTCCTGTCAGCTTCTCTCCGGTTGATTCTGTTACTAGAAGGGTTTTTCTGTAATACAAGTGCAGCTTGGTAACAATTCAGTGTGTGAAAGTCACTTTGGTCACGTTAGTGATGTGTGACTCACGTGCTGTTGGATTCATTGCTCTTAACCAGAACATCATGGTGTGGGTTGGAAAGGAGCTGCAGGATGGTGTTGGATCACCTGGATCCAACTGTGGGCTGGTTGGAAAGAGATTTAGGAAAGGTAATCATCCTGCATCCCTACAACCTGTAGGTGGGGACTGGGGTGGTAAATCCCCCCCCACTGTAATGGCAGAGCAAGTCCGAGATCACCTCATGAGACTGAATGTGTACAAGTCTGTGGGGCAGAATGGCGTGCATCCCAGGGTTCTGAAGGAGCTGGCTGAGGTTGTTGCTGAGCTGCTCTCCATCATATTTGAAAAGTTGTGGCTGTCAGGTGAGGTCCTGGATGACTGGAGGAAGGGTCATGTCACTCCCATTTAAAGAAAGGGAGCAAGGAGGACCCTGGGAACTACAGGTCAGTGAGTCTCACCTCTGTGCCTGGGAAGATCATGGAACAGATCATCCTGGATGACATGCTTGATCACATGAGGAAAGAGCGTGTGATTCGAGACAGCCAGCACGGCTTCACCAGAGGAAGGTCATGCTTGACCAATCTAGTGGCCTTCTATGATGGAGTGACAGCATCAGTGGACAAGGGAAAGGTGACCGATGTCATTTACCTGGACTTGAGCAAGGCCTTTGACATGGTCCCCCACCACATCCTTCTCTCCAAATTGGAGGGATGTGGATTTGATGGGTGGACCACTCGATGGATAAGAAATTGGTTAAAAGGCTGCAGACAGAGGGTGGTCATCAATGGCTCTATGTCCAGGTGGAGGTTTGTAATGAGTTGTATCCTCCAGGGGTCTGTCTTGGGACTGGTGCTCTTCAACATCTTTATCAGTGACATCGATGATGGAATTGAGTGCACCCTCAGCAAGTTTGCTGACGGCACCAAGCTGAGTGGTGCAGTTGACACGGTTGAAGGAAGGGATGCCATTCAGAGGGACCTCGAGAGGCTAGAAAGGTGGGCCCGGGTGAACCTGATGAGGTTCAACGCGGCAAAGTGCAGAGTTTTGCACTTGGGCCGGAGGAATCCCAGGCATCCCTACAGACTGGAAGGAGAGGTCCTTGAGAGCAGCCCTGCAGAGAAGGACCTGGGGGTCTTGATTGATGAAAAGCTTAACGTGAGCCAGCAGTGTGCCCTTGCAGCTCAGAAAGCAAATGGTATCCTGGGCTCCATCAGAAGAGGGGTGGCCAGCAGGGACAGGGAGGTAATTGTCCCTCTGTACTCTGCCCTTGTGAGGTCCCATCTGGAGCATAGGAAGTTCCGCACCAATGTGCGCAAGAACTTCTTTACGGTGAGGGTGACGGAGCACTGGAACAGGCTGCCCAGGGAGGCTGTGGAGTCTCCTTCTCTGGAGATATTCAAGACCCGCCTGGACGCCTACCTGTGCGACCTGGTGTAGGGATCCTGCTTTGGCAGGGGGGTTGGACTCGATGATCTCTGGAGGTCCCTTCCAACCCCTACGATTCTGTGATTCTGTGATTCTGTACTGTGTCCAGGTCTGGAGCCCCCAGTACAAGAAAGACAGGGAGCTGTTGGAGAGGGTCCAGAGGAGAGCCATGAAGATATCAGGGGACTGGAGCACCTCCCCTATGAAGACAGGCTGAGGGAGCTGGGCTTGTTCAGCTTGGAGAAAAGAAGGCTGCGGGGTGACTTCATTCAAGCCTTTCAGTACCTAAAGGGAGTCTACAAACAGAAGGGGAATCAATTCTTTGAAAGGGTAGATAATGGCAAGACAAGGAGAAATGGTTTTAAGTTAAAGGAGGGAAGATTTAGGTTGGATGTCAGAGAGAAATTCTTTGCAGAGAACATGGTGATGTGCTAGAACAGGCTGCCCAGGGAGGTTGTGGATGCCCCGTCACTAGAGGTGTTGAAGGCCAGACTGGATGGGGCCCTGGGCAGCCTGGTCTAGTATTAAATGTGGAGGTTGATGGTCTTGCATGTGGCAGGGGGGTTGGAGCTTCATGATCCTTGAGGTCCCTTCCAACCCTGGCCGCTCTGTGATTCTGTGAATCAATCCATCTGCTGGGAATTGGATAGGCCCCAGTAGCTTGGCAAACCACAGCTGGTTTTAGATCTTAATGTTTGTGAAGGGTAATTTAGAAACTGATGTCAAAAAGATGATGCTTGGAAGGCACTCACTCAGTAAGGGAACAAGTAATGAGAATAAAGTTATACGTTTCATAATAGTATAACTCTTTCAGGTCTGAATTTGAGCCCCTCATGACGTGAGTGGAACAAGTAGCATAGTTTGCCAGCAGTGCCCAGGAATACTAGCTATCAAAGTCATCAGAGAAGGTAGAAGTGGGCCAAACTTTTCTTCTATACTTTGTAGTTCAAATACTAGCTAAGCAGGCTGATAAACGTGGACATTCCAATGTATTCTTTAAGTTTTACTAATAACTATTAAATATTGAAATTCACGGATCGTTAATCAAGTAATCAGGTTCCCTGTTGCTGTGCCAGCTGCATTATTACATTTTTAACTCAAATGCTGCAGTGGTAGTTTTATGAGAACCTTCCTGTGTGTTGGCTGTGAGACAACAGTTGTTCTGAAACCTCACGCAGGGATTTACATTGTAGCTTTAGATACAATTTTCTTTTGCAACAAATGTTTATGAAAAAGAACTGTGCTGCCACTTTTTCCAGGACACCCTTGGCTTATGTGAGATAGCAGAATTAGAGCCTTAGGCTTAACCAAGAGATATTTCAATTCTCAATTCTATATTCAGTTGGATTTGAAAATACATATATATGTATTTGTTAGATCTTTTTAAAATGCCACTCATATGTAGAGTTATTGCACCCACTAGTGGAAAAGATCAACACCACATAATCTGATACAGATGACTCTCAATTTCACCTATTTTAGATTTTGGTGCTTTTTCAAATAAGTGAGCAACTGCTTGTAATTTTAGTCACAAATTATTCATGAATTTGTCCACTGCAGAAAAGAACAAGGTGTGTTGAAAAGAGCTTCTGGCATGAGATAAGGTCCTTCGTAATTGATTTGTATTTGTAATTGATGTAGTAGGTATTAATGCAGTTATACTAAGCATTAATAACAGTGCATGGGGAGAGTGGGAGATTTTGGATACAACTGTGGTCATCTGTGTTTGAGAGAGTGATACACTGACGCTGGCAAGTAAATGTAGAAGTACTATGATGAAGAATGGAATGGATTTCCTTTGAGAGGAGATTGAAAGAGGAAGACTTATTCAGTCTGCTAAAAGAATAGTGATATGGTTCACTGTACTCTTTTTGACTGGTTCATATTGTCAATCAAAAAAGCAGCAATTCTTTCCAAACACTGGAGGTCTATTTTTTTGTATTTAGGGATGTGATTTTTTTATACTGTTGAAACTGGATACTTAGGGCATCACATAGGGCCTAGCTGGCTGCTTCGTGTAGACCAGAAAACTCTTAGAGCCCGTTTGCTGGGCTTATTTTGCATGTGTTTGGTGGAAACCTTGATATTGTGTGTTAGAGTCACAGCAAGATAATATGGTTATTGTCCAGCTACATCTCTTAAGTGAGGAGGGTTGATACATTGTGGCTTAAGAACTAATTAGTGACAGCTAACTGTGAACTAATATAAGACAGACATTGTAAGAAAGTGAGGTTATAGAACAGCTTTTCATAGTAGTAGTGGGATAGGAAGGCTACATTGTTTTAAGCTTTGTTTGTTTAAGAAAGGTTTATGTAATGTTTTTGAAGTGACAGGATTGGATTTAATTAGTCAGGGTTCCTTTACAAGCTCTATGATACCTAAAGGCAATTTGAAAGCTTAATGGCCACCCTGATGTACTGCATCCAACAGTCTTAAGGAAGAGCTTCTCCTGTGTACTTGGTGAGGAAATGGATTTATGTACATTCGTTTTAATCCTGCTAATAAAGAGAACTATTTTGTACTATCTACTCCTCCACAGTACTTTAAAGAATTAAATACAAATCTTATATGTGAGAAAGCTGATGTAGATTCATGCTTATCAATGTCTTACAGATGAGCAGAAACTCAGACTTGCAGGCCACAACCTTCTCGGGCAAATGCATGCACCCAAACACCTCCCAGTGAACAAGGGAGCCATCCAGACCTTTGGCTGTGGGGTTGCTGTGACATGGGTGCAAGTGTGCCTACCTTTCTTTTGAACAGGTGGGCAGGTTGTGAGAGGAAATCAACAAGCAGATAGTATCCAGGAATCTGAGGGAGACTGACTGTGCTGTAAAAGGGCAGACTGACAGCCCTGTCTTAAGTCCATGCAAGGGAAAGAAGCTAAGCCAGCTTCCACCTATGAGAAAATAGACAGCAATAACAAGCAAGATGAGGGAGACTAGACTCATTTCTGCCTGGAGCAGAACAGATAGAAGGCTCTGGGACTGAAAAAAAGGAGAAGGTGCCGGTGACAGTCAAGACCCAGGAAAGGACAACCATATGAAGCTGATCCAGCCAAGCACCTATTACTAGAACCAGTGCCACCAAAAAAGGCAAAGGGCATTAGTAACAAAGGACTCCTCACTGAGAGGCACTAAGGCACCCATTCACCCCTTGGACAACTTCTTTAGAGAGGTTTGCTACCTGCCAAGGGCCCACATTTGTGATATCAAGTGGAGCTTATTAGGCCTGAGAAAGCCAGAGCACAGGAGCTCTCTATCCCCCAATAGATAAAATAGATAAAAGCAGGAGGGGCAGCAGGCCAGCATGGCTGAACAGGGACCTGCTAGTTAAACTGAGGGATAAAGAGGAAACATACAGGCAGTGGAAGCAGGGATGTGTGGCCTGGGAAGAGTACAGAGATGCCATCCAGACATGTGGAGATGAGATCAGAAAAGCCAAGGCACAGATGGAACTGAGCCTGGTAGGGATATGACAAATAACAAGAAGGGATTCTGTAGGTACATTGGTCAGAAGAGAAAGGTCCAGGAGAGTGTATTCCCTCTGCTAAATGAGAAAGGGGTGCTGACAACAATGGGCAAGAAGGCTGAGGTTTGCCTCAGTTTTCACTGGTAGTCAGGCTTTCCATGTCTTTCACGTCTCTGAACCCACAGGTGAGATCAGGGGAGCAAAATCTCTCCCACTGCAAGAGAAGAGCAAGTTCAAGACCACCTGATGAGTCTGAATGTGTACAAGTCTATGAGGCCTGATGACATACAGCTCAGTGTCCTGAAATAACTGGCTGATGTGGTTGCTGAGCCACTCTCCATCATATTCAAAAAGTCATGACTGCCAGGTAAAGTCCCCAGTGACTGGAAAAAGGGAAACAACACTACAGTTTTTTTTTAAGAAAGGGAGAAAGGAAAATTCAGGCCAGTGAGCCTCACCCTTTGCATAGGAAGATCACAGAGCAGATCCTCCTGGAAGTTATGTTAAGGCTCATGCAAGATGAGGAGGTGATCTGCTGGCCTTCTAAGATGGAGTGATGGCATCAGTGGACAAAATAAGAACAACTGATGTCATTTATCTGGACTTGTGCTAGGACTTTGATAAGGTCCTACACAACATCCTTATCTCTGTGATGGAGAGAGATGGGTTTGATCGGTGGTTAATACAGTGAGTAAAGAATTGGTTGGATTGTTGTAGTCAGAGGGTCATGGTCAATGGCTCTACGTCCAGGTGGAAGTCAGTGACAAGTGGTGTCCAGCACAGGTATATTTTGACACTGGTGCTCTTCAACATCCTTATCAATTACATAGATAGTAGGATTGAATATACCTTCAGAAAATTTGCTGATGACACCAAGCTGAGTGGGGTGGTTCACAAAATAGAAGGAAAGGATGCCATCCAGAGGGACCTGGGCAAACTGGAAAAGTGGCCCACAAGAACCTGATGTGGTTCAAGGCCACAAGCAGCGTGTTGCTCTTCAGTTGGGGCAGTTCCAGATATGAGTACAGACAGGGAGAAGAACTCATTGAGAGCAGTCCTGCAGAGAAGGACTTGGGGTTCTGGTGGATGAAAAGCTGGACTGAGCCAGCTGTGTGCTCTTACAGCCCATGAGGCCAACTGTATCCTGGGCTGCATCAACAGAAGGGTGGCCAGCAGAATGAGGGAGGGGGTTGCTGTGGATGCCCCATCCCTGGAGATGCTCAAGGCCAGGTTGGATGGGGCTCTGGGCAGCCTGAGCTGGTGGGAAGCACGCAGTCCATGGCAGAAGGGTTGGAACTGGACAGTCTTTAAAGGTCTGTTCCAACTCAAACCATTGTATGATTCTATGATTGACAGAGCAGAATGAACCAATTCAGCTAAAATTGATCCACTTTGTGTGTGTCTGAACTTTGAACATTTAAGGCAAGTATCTTCAGCCAGTACAGCCACTCTGTAGTTGACAGGACTATTACCAACCATGTAAGTCAGGGCTTTGATCCAAACTTCCTTTGAATCAGTCAGGTGGAGCTGAAAATGTGAATTGCACATGCTATCACATGTTGCTAACTTTGTCTAGCAAGTTTCATTTGTTAATTTAGAATGCAGAAATGAACCTTTTAACTTTACTCTGAAAGCAAATATTGACTTTGTTTTATAGTAGACTGGACTTTGTGCAGGAGGGGAAAAGCCTGACATTCCTGAAAATGGCAGCTGAGACATCCACAGAAGTTCCAAAAACTGCTAAGCAATTCGTCCTTAAGGAAGAGGTACAACATGTTTGGTTTTGACACATTGTATTGCTAAATAACAGTTATTTGAGACTGATCAAAATATTTGTGAGTGCAGAATAAGAAATGTGATAGATGCTAAAGGTTTGTACAATCTGTTCAGAGGAAGTACTTCTTCCTGAAGGTCGAAGAGTGTTCAGGTATTTTTAAGCTTCTTTTTTTTTTTTTTCTCTGATTTTACAGTTGTGTCTTGTATTGTCTGTTCAGGCTGTTTTCAATGTTAAGAAATAATGCTGATACCTCTGCTAGATTGTAGAAATGGGTGGATTGTGAAAATGAGTCTTGTTATCTGTTCCTCTCTAACACAGAGAGTTGCCTTAAAATTTACAACTATACCTTCTTTCACACTTTCTGGAAGGATTTGAATTGAGATGATTGCTTTTCTAAGGATGCTGATAAGGAGATAGTAAGATGTTCTGAAAATGTTGTACTTGCACCTTACCTTCACAGAATCAGAAAATATTAGGTCCTCAGAAAGGAATTCAGAGGTATTTCTGTGTGCTTATTAGGAGCATTTTCACCTTTCATTACCAATTTTTGTTAGACCTTACAACATGCTTTGTTTCAGGTCACATATTAATTTTATGCTCTTTTTTTTTCTTTTTTTAATCATACCTCTTTCCTTTGTAATATTCTTCAGTGTCATTCAGAAGTTTGTTATGAAGTCTTACATATTCAAAATGATTTATCTTTTCTAGTAATTTTCTGGGCTTTCTTGAGGAGAATGTTTACCATGCATTTACCAGTCACTCTTATACTTGAAGTGTTTCTGTACGTCTTTAGCATCTAAATGGTTTGATGTCAGAGTATCTTCTTGCATGAAAGCAGCTGCTGATCTTCCACCTGCTTCTGGGAAGCCACAGTCTGTGAGCAAAAGATGACATTCTTTGCCCATCAAAGTAATAGGTGAAGCAATAAATATAGCTTATTCTGAAACTGACTATAGCTCATAGAACATACCCTGGAAAGTACCATTAGCCCCAGATAAAGGATTTTGCAAAACAAGAGTTATGCTTGTAGGCCAGCTTCTAAAAAGTTTTAATTGCGCACCCAGCAGGATGGGTGACAATAGAACTTTATTTTTCTTCTAGAGACACTTGTCAGCATTCAGGTTTTTCAATCTGAAGACAGTGAGCAGGAAGGGCTCTACCTGACTTTAGGGGATTGTAGAACACTTCCCATGTTAACATTTATGCTGCGTGTCCTATAGTACTTTTTAATTATTTCTCCATGACAGCAGAGGACAAAAGCTGTGCTTAAAGAGTAGCTGATTAAAAACACAACACTTTGACACTGCTTTGTACACATAAAATCTACATTTTTTCCCTTCGGTGGTCTTTTTGGAGCTTGGCTGTGTCTGATTTCTTACAGCCAGCTCTTTCTTTCTCCCGTCAGACTCCAGAATCTGATTTCAGCTATTTTCCCCTTTCTGCTTACCAAATAGTAACGTTGTGATGGAGCAGTGATCTGCCAGTTCTGCTGAGTGCTTCAGCAATATGTGGCCATGACCAATAGTTCTTTGTGTCTTCTGCAGTGTTTAACAAAATAAATTATAAAATAAAATTCATTATTACAAAATATTTGGCTTTATTGTTTGTTTAACTGAAGTATATGGACAGCCAACAGGAAACGATTTTCATCTCTTTCTCTTTTGGATAAGAGCTGCATCACGTACTACATTTCACTTCTAGGTATTCCTTTGGTTGATGAACCTCTCTCTCAATTTAGGTTCATGATCCACATGGCTACACGTGTCCTGTTTGCTCTTTGTCCTGCACTAGAGGGTGGTAACATGCCTATCACATGAACAGTCTCTGGGTTTTTATCCTTTGCTACAATTTAATGTTGTGGGTTTTTTGTTGTTTTTTTTTATTTTCCAGAATTTCTCTTCCCCTTGCTAATACATCCTCCATTGCTATCAGCAATGTTTCTAGTTATACAATAAGAATTCACTGAAACGTAGTTATAAAAGTTAAAAGAAATTACTAGGCTTAATTTCTATTCCAATTCAAGAACTTGGCATAAATGCTTTTCCCCAGCAGTTACAGGAAGTTGTTAAGTGTTCTTGCATATGTTCTGATGCTGAGATTTTCTTTCTAAAAGCATTATAATAAAGTTGTGTTTTCTCTCTCCCTAAAGCCAAGTAACATTGAGATTAATCTTATAATTTATTTTAAAAAGAATACTTTATTTTTAGGTAATCATAGAAAGAAAATGGTTGAAGCTTGAGGAAACAACTTACACTGATGCCTTTGGTAAAACCAGGTAATCATCTTTCTGGATCCTCTTCAGATTCCTGTAATGTTCCCAGTTCTGTGGGCCAGCCAGAATATGAACCCTACAAACCTATTACCCAACACATGACAATTCTATGTATTGAGCAGTTCCTTTATAGTTCATCCTGTTCAGAGAAAAAAGTCCTTCTCTAGCAGGCATGCTAGCATGTGGGATCATACTTGGCTCCTGAATCTTTTGGGACTCATTAGACCTTCATTTACCTTGCATTTGCAGTTCCTTATACAGATGATGTACAGAAGCAAGTTCTAGCAGTGCAAATAGACAGAGATGATCAGTGAATCTGTCCTTTGGCTTTTCTGGGATCTCATTAAGGGCTTCATTTTCACTGCTGATGGTGCAGGACATTGCATACTACTCAAAAGTTACTTGTTTTCTTGTATGTTATCATGCTTGTCCAGTTCTTTTGTATGCTTTAGTTATGCCATATTTATCTAGATGTGACATAGCTTTATTTTACCACCCCTTAATGTATTACATTCCATCTTGATTCCTTTCTCCAGTGCCTCCCTATTTATCAGCAAAGTATCCTTTTAAGAAATAGCAAAGACTGGAGCTTTTGTGAAAGGATTTTTATAGCTGATGGCTTTTTGGAGTTTACTCATTCTATTGCTTATTTTGAGAGAAAAGTTTTTCTTTCTTTCCTGTGTGCTTCTCTTGTTCGAGTACGTGAGCTGTGAGTTCACAATTACATTATAAATTGTATAAAAGCAAGGTAAAAGAATGAACGTGGTCTTTTTTCAAAACTAACAAAATCTGGCATGTTAAATACATAAATTGTTCCATCTTGCACTTTTCCAGGATCACTTTTATATGATTTGTTCTGTGACAATCATTTGTGTCTTTCCATTATGTTTAATGAGCCTGAGCAATCACCAGATATCTATTTTCTCTCTCATTTGTGTATGCAAAACAAAATTCTATCACAGACATCTTACATGGCCAAAACAGGATAGGGGTTACCTACAGCCAGCTGCTTTCCTTCTGGGCCTCACTGAACAATGGCATGTTTTGCTTTCTGATTACAACTGCAAGGATAGAAGACAACTTACAAAACATGGATATTTTTAATCTATCAATTTGTTGTTTTCTCTATGCTGAACAGAACTTGGGAAACTGTAAAGCGTGTTGGCAAGAAAAAGAGTGTTTCAGCTGATGGTAAGACTGTGGTGATGTTTGTTTGTTTGTTAGCAACTTTTCTTGTGACAGTTCTAATAAACTCACTGTGCAGCCAGTATGTTTGTGAATAGAAAGACAGCTCAGCAGGGCTTGCAGGATAAGCCACAGCACTGAGCAAGTATGCTCTCCTGAAATACTGACTGAAGAGCTCAGCAATCAGAATCTTGCTGCTAGGACTGTTTTCCCAAGATCGCTGTATTCACCTGATGAGAATTGCAAAGTTGTGATGGATGCCCTGGTGCATATCAGCTCATGAATTGGGTTTGCTGTAGGGGCTTAGCATACAGTACTCTTCAGGCAAAAGATGGACATAAATCAGACATGAAAGGAGTGTAGGAAGGGGTTCCATCTGGTGGTTTCCAGACAGTGTCTGCAGGTGAGACAGTGCCTCCCAAGCTACTGGGGGGCTAAGGATAAGTCTTGCTTAGCACACTTTCCTCTAGTTGGCTGAGGTATTCTGAGGATCCCATTTTGGCCTTTCAGCTCTCAATGTGCATGGTATAAAGAGTTTAAATTCATAATTCAGGATAACAGTGATCTAAATGTTTGCCAGCTTGATGCTAGTGCTAGTGTCCTTAGGTTCATTCCTGGATCTAGCACTAAATGCTTTGTTATACTCAAATAGTACGTGCTTACATCTTCTGTCACTGCTCCTAGGTGTGGCAGTGATAGCTGTGCTACAGAGAACTCTCCACTATGACTGCATCGTCCTAGTGAAACAGTTCAGGCCTCCAATTAATGGCTACTGCTTGGAATTTCCTGCAGGTAAGAGATGGAAACATTCAGTCACATAACAGTGACAGTTAACTGTGTTTAGATGTGCTAGGAGTTTCAATCTTTATTAAGTGGTCTAACCAGAATTCCATGGTGGCCTGTAGCTCAGTGAGATCTTCAGCACTATTTAATAGTGAAGCACACAAAGGGAATGCAGTTCCTTTTAGGAGACTGGAGGCATTGTGCACGAGTTTGGTAAGAGAATATTGCATTTCCCTCCTCTCCTCCTATCTGTAAGAGCCATAGCACTCATCTTCTTTCCCTCATGAGAATATTAATACCATCTTACAGAAAGATAGCACGATACTGTAGACAGTCAGTTGAAGACATGAGCAGCAGCAATGATGGATGAGTCCAGGAATTTGAATCCTTCCTAAACCTCGATTTCTTCCTATGTAAAAGTAGGGCAATTAGGACATTTCACCTCATTTGTGAAGTGGATTTGATCTCAGAATGGATACTGTGGGTTAAGTGCTAACTGTTAAATTGTTCTTGTGTTATTATTTATCTCACAGGCCTCATTGAGGAAAATGAGACTGCAGAAAGTGCTGCACTGCGAGAGCTGGAGGAAGAAACTGGCTACAAAGGGGAAGTTGTTGAATGTACTCCAGGTCTGTGCTTTTCTTTTTTTCTTTCCATCCCAAAGCTAATTCTCTCTGATGGATGATACAAAACACTCTAAACCAAAGGAAAACAAGAACTACGCAGAAAGCTCTACAGAAATGAACAGAGAGTTGTATCCCATGGCTGTACCAATGAGACTTTGGTACTTGATGAATCAGTTGTTGAGCTCTGTAAATGCACAGGGCTAAAGGTTGACATTTACAGGGAAAAATGTTGCTATTAACAAGTGATCCTTTACATAAAACTTGTGATTCAGATGGAAGTTATTTTGTAAACGGGTGAGACGCCTGGCCTCTGCTTTTAAAAAACAAACGTCTGTCTGTTTGTTTGTTTGCAGCACTCTGCTTGGACCCAGGTGTGTCAAACAGCACAACACACATCGTGAGCGTTACCATTAACGGAGACGATGCCGCAAATACAAGACCTAAGCAAAAGCTTGGTGAGTTCTGTACCATTTAGATGGAAACTCTTAGAAGGTTACAGAACGTGTTTAATGGAACTATCCCTACCACCATATTCTTCTCTTCCATCCTTGATGATTTAGACTCCGTAAATAAAGTCTTCAAATCATACCCTGCAGCATAGAGAAGCAAACCCACGTTTATTTGCTAAATTCACAGGGGATGCCTAGATGTTAAATCTAAAGTATCAGCTTATCCACAGCAAGAAATTTAGATGCTAAACTTTATTGAGTGCCAAAAGATTTTCCTTTTTTGTGGCTTGGCCCATCAACTATGATGTCATTCACAGTCAGGTAACAAAATGCTTCTTAGCTGTAAAGGTATTTCAAAACCCTTGTGTTGTTTGTTTTTTGTTTCTTACAGATGATGGAGGTATGTCACATAGCTGTGCTCCCGGTAACAGGAAGGTCAAGTGTGTTTGTATGTTTTACTTAGAAAATGTCAGTTAAAACTGTGGGGTTTTTTGGGCTTGGTTAATCTTTTGACCCAAATCAAGCATACACAAGACTCTCTATGGCCTGGATGTGAAAATTCCTGTGGCTATTATCACTTCAGTTGCATTCAAGTATTACAACAGAGGCACCATTATCTCAAGAAATACAAACCGAATCCTCAACAGCTGTAATTCAAGCCTTGAAAGGCAACTAATTCATACAGACTAGGCAGGTGTAAGCTAACATATTCACCCTTTTTTCTTTAGAAACTGCTGTTGTGGTCTTCAAGTGCATCTAAAATTCCTTCCTATGCAGTTCAGCCCGACAGGATTCCAATTTGACAGATTTTCCATTCTCAGGAGAAAGTCTCCTTTTAGAAAGGTTCTCACCTTCCACAGCTGCCAGTTTTTTCTGTTTATTTCTGACAAATCTGTTAATGATCCCAGTCACTGCCTTCCCTCAGGCACTGAGCCTTTTTATGATACACAGAGGTCTACTACGCTTTTAGATGGTGATAAGCATTAAGCTAGCTTTTTTTTCCTCCTGTAGGTTGTAAGAAGTAGGACACTAAGATAGACATCCTCTACTGTTCACTGCTTTAGAGGTGTTTAACATTTTGTTCTTCTTGCCTAGAATTTGTGGAAGTTATTTCACTTCCAAAGAACGACTTACTGCAAAGAATCGATGGTAAGAGCTTTCTGACATTAAATGCACTAATTTGAGCTTCAAGTAACCATTAGCATCTCTTCTCATAGCTCTTCACAAGTCTATATCTTAAACAAAAAGCCGCAGGAGACTTGACCCTACGACAGAATTTCTGGTAGCCTGAGGTGTTCGCATGAATAATCCCATTCACCACTTTAATAACGGACATAGGAGTTTGTGGGAAGTTGTAACTGCATCTCATACTTTGTTTTTCTTCTTTTCCCTTGCCCCTCAGAACTAGTAGCAGAAGAGCATATTGCAGTGGATGCCAGGGTTTATACTTATGCACTGGCCCTGAAGCGTGCAACAGAGAAACCGCTCCAAGTTCCTTTCATGAAGTTCTAAAACTTCACAGTAATAAATATAGCTGAGAATCCTCCAGTCCAGATGGCTTAGAAGTGTAACTCTTCTTGTAATAAAGGTTCCTTACTTGTAGAGTGAAAAAAATACTTGTAAGAATGATTCTGATATTTTTACCTGGAATAAACTGACGGAAAGCATTTCTTCTAACTGTTTAGTCTATCTAGCCTTGACAGAACAATCAAAATAAAAATGCTGCTTAATTTTCAAGATGATTCATTTCTGATTATTCATCACTACGTAGATATTTCAGTATAAGAAGGATGCTTAAGCAACTGTATTTGGTGTGGTAGCAACACCTGTTCAAAATGAGAGAGAAAACAGACCACATTATGCATTTGTGCCAAATTAAGTGGTAAGAGAAAATGAATTCATTGGATCCAAGTATTGTTTAATCTAAGAAAACAGAGGCTCTGATAACAGTGGTGATGGTTACAAAACATAAACTAGTGCAAACTAGAATGGAGCCAGGTAAGTGATGCTGTTTAAGGTATGGGATTAGTAGAAGAGCCTTGCAGTTCTCCAGTTCCCTTGGGCATATGCACACAGCTAGGTTGCACTTCAATTCAATATATCACTTCTATGTAAATCACTTGCCCAGCAAACCTTCAGTGCACAGTCACCTGCTTTTTATTATCCAAATAACCACCACAGCTTAAAGATTAGAAACTAAAAGTCACCATAAGCATGTGCTAATATCAAACACTGTCTCTGAAATATACTTAGATGAACATGCATAATCAGGAAGATTTTTCCTAATTCAGAAATTAAGTAGAAATCTTGTGAAAGGTTTTCTGACTTTCACAAACAGCACCACAAAGGTGCTTCCAAATTAAGGCTGAAAAAAGAAATCAAAATATGAAACCAAAAGGGAAAAATCCACTGACTACAACGGAACAGAGAAGATTTTAAAGGGGAAAAGACTTCAGATTGTTGCTTCTTTTAATTCAGATCAGCTTTCAGCAGCCTTAATTATACTACAAGAGAAAGGATAAACAGGAGAGAAGCCTTCCAGACCGACCTCACTAACACAGCGTGTGTGAAATTACTGCATGTGAATCATGGATCTTGCACGGGTAAGACACAGGAGAGAGCTTAATTAAATAAGTTTATTGTCTAATGTTTACACTTGTTAGGTTGCCACTGTAAAGTGCAACAACATAAATAAATTTTCAGCAGGAACTTCACGTTCCCCCCTTCCCTTCTATGAACACTGCTTTAGGAACCAGGCTTTGTTTTTTAGACTCACAAAAGCAAAGTGGACATGAAGTTTCAGTGGCACAGTTTTCACAAATACATGTTTAAAACAAAACTACCGGGCTGGCTTGGCAGCATGACAGCAGTACCATGCTGTCTCACAGGAAGCCCAGGGCAAGAAATTGACGTGCCCCAGTCCTTGCAATGCAGCAAATCCACCACAAAACCAGTTCATAGGTGAGATGGGTATCAGTCTCTGGTAAAATGTTTGCTTGTCCAGCCTTGGAGCTAAGGGGCAGGTGATTGGGTGGGGACAGAGGAGGAAGGAGTGCTGAGTTCAGTGATGGCAAAATCCAAGTTAAAAAAGTATAAAAAAAATTAAGGTACAGGCTACAAATCAACTCTTTCAAGAATACTGGCACATGGCATTCTGAACTCAGATTATTATTATTTTTTCCTATTAAGGATAGGGAAATAAACTTAATGTTTTTATGCTGTGTGCAAAAATGTTTACCAGCGCCAAACTGATACATTTTACCATCTCACTGTAGTGTCTGAACAGCAAGGTAGATGAATTGGTTTCCAGCATTACAGGCAACATTAGATATACTCAAACAAGATAATGTAAACTTGATTCTTAAGGCAGCTGGTACTGATGCTGCACGCAGGCATTGCTCAAGGCCCATTACAGCAATGGGACATGTAGCACTTGAAAACAAGTAAAAAGAAAATAGCATTGTTGGACTAAATGACTCATGTTGTCAAAATACTTTCCCTTTCACACAAACCATGAAATATTTGGACATCTAGAAAAATAACGCTCCTACTCCTCCAACTTCTGCCTGTTCTTTTACAAATATTTCAAAATACTGATAAATAATGGTGACTGCAAGCAGAATGCCAGTGCCCGACCCAATGGCTCCCAGAAAGTCAGCCAGAACTGAAAGGGCACCAATGCACAAACCACCAAATGCAGCTGCTGTAGGGATATACCTGGAACCAAAACATACATTTATGATCATGCATTTTCATACAAGAGTTCAACTGTTAAAACAACCAGCTAGGACATTTAGAGACAAGCTCAGCTCTGCAGCTGCAACTCTACCATTAACTCTTACAAGTTTCTAAACCACATTTGCACAACACAGATTAAATATTCACTGATAGGAAAGCTGTATAAACAACTGATCACTGGTAAAGATTTTGATTCATGAGATAACAATTTATTATTTTTTTAAATATATGCATGCTATTTAACCTCCACAAGACTAAGACTTGGCTTAAATACAGAGGCATAAATCTGCCTAGCAATGCAGATCTTCAGGCTTTGCACACTGAACAAAATCCCACTTTTGCAGCACTGTTTTAGCTCAGTAATGGTAAATTAGACACCTGTAAATGTGATGGTGTCTTCCTTTTAGAAACAGAGAAAACACTCAATCCAAATTCCCTACTTATTCTGCTTATGGAAGACACTCCAAGTTAATCTCTTCATTAACCCTATATGCATTTTTTGCATTCCAGAGAAAGACAGCTTAATGAGAGCAATATCTTGACATTTGTAGCAGAAACAAGCCCCTGATTTTTCCAAGAACATTTGTTCTCATTGACACCTTCCCAGTACTCTCAATTGCCCAGTAAGGAAGCACAGCTGAAAGTCAGCATTATCTTACCTGTTAAGCTCATGAACCATTGAAGTATCCCTGTGGCCTCTCATCACCATTTGCTGTTCCTTGAGTTGCTTGGCAACCTGCAGAAACATAATTTGATGAAATTGCTGCAGTTTTTTCCACAGTCATCTGATATTTAGTCACAGTAATAACTGATCAGTAAGGATCAGTCAGTTCTAAATCACAGGCAGTGTTTGAAAATACAGTCATTAGGCACATTTATCAGAACACCTACATCTTTTGCTGATGAACCAGACACTTCAATCCAAGTCTTCGAGAAAAAAGCGCAGGAGCCCAACATAAAAATTATATAAACTATTACATGAACAGGATCCTCAAATATTGCACCCATGGATTCTGGAGGGGACAAGTAGTAGCACAGACCACCAACAGGGTAAGAACGAGCAGGGCCACCGCCACTCACATCCTACAGAAGGGGAAGAAGACAGACATTTAGGTGTTTCTCACAGACCTCTCACATTCTAATCCTGCATTTATAGAGGAATTCCTCATCAACGTTCCAAAATCCACTTTTCCATGCAATTGTTAGAAATTAAGTATTCCAGTCTTCCGCTGGTTAAACACTCGAGTTTCACGATAAAGTAATATATATATATATTTATATATTCTTTTTTAAAAAGGTGATTAAGATACTTACTGCCCATTGTCCTAATAAGTTCACCAAGAAGTTGCCACTAAAACGAACAGACAACATCTGGGAAATAACATAGAGGTTTGAAACTAAGGCAGACTGCAGAATGATGGGAATGTTGGAGGTATAGAAGAGCTTGATCGGATAGCTGCTGTACTGTCCTCGGTATCGTGCAGACTTGATAGGCAAATCAACACGAAAGCCCTACGAGAAAGAACACAAATATGCCAAATCTATTTCTGAGAAAGAAATGCTTCCTAGTATGTCTACAAGTTATTCCAGAGGATATTTGCTAGATAAACAAGGAGTGCAAAGTCTGGGACAGTAAAGCCCTAAGGCTTACTTGCTACAGACTGAACTACAGACTTTAAGGATTTGTAAGTGTTACTGCTTGGATGTTTTACATTCTTTATACAGCAAATAAGAGAGAAGGTCTCTAAGTACCATTTCTCTAAAATACAATTACTTTGTAACATTTGGTTTGATAAAACTATCTAATGGCTTTTAACTTAACTGACAAGTATCACCAGACCTCCTATGTTTGTAAGTCCTACTTTCTGGGGCAGGCTCCTATCCCAGTAGGCCCAAGAAATTTGAAAACAATAGAATTCAAGGTTTTTTTTGCTTCCACTCAGTCTGAACTGCTTTAAAGATGCACAGTTAGATACACAAACAAAACAATACAGACCAATATGCAGGTCTCCTTTAATGTCAATTGTAGGAAATACTCAAGCTTAAAGACAAACCCCAGCTAAGGATCTAATGAAAAGTCCAGGGGGGGAAGGGGAACAATAAGCCATGCATTAATTACACTGCTGTTTTCTAGAACAAACCTGTATTATACATGCCCCAAAGAAACAAGGTTGTTCAGCTCCATTCAAAAGTAATATTTTCTTTTTAAACTCAACTATGAATTATCAAGTATGTTAATTGTATGATAGAACCATAGCAGTTTCATAATCCATTTTTAGTAAAAAAAACAAATGTGTGTGTGCTGTTTAGTGGAAAGTGAGATGACATCACTGCCTGAGTAGAAATATTTGTATCCATAACAGTGAACAGCTGCACTGTCACAGGTTTATGTTACTGAAGAAACACTATTCAAATTAAAAATAAGTAAGAGCTCCTTTCTCTGAATCACAGAAGGGTTGGAAGGGACCTCAAGGATCATGAAGCTCCAACCCCCCTGCCACATGCAGGGCCACCAACCTCCAGATTAAATACTATCCAGGCTGCCCAGGGCCCCATCCAACCTGGCCTTAAACACCTCCAGGGACAGGGCATCCACAACCTCTCTGGGCAGCCTGTTCCAGTACCTCACCACTCACAGTAAAGAACTTCCCCCTGACATCCAACCTAAATCTTCCCTCCTTCAACTTAAAACCACTTCCCCTTGTTCTGCCATTATCTACCCTTTCAAGGAATTGAGAACAAGATCTCAAGATCAAATACTTCATTTATTCTACTTCGGCAATTTCTTTTTGCAATGACCACATTACTAGGAGTCCACGTCCTTCTACCAATACAGTTTCAGAGTTACTATGAGAAATTTCTCATTTTACCTGAAAATAGATGACTACAGCAAATACAAATACTGTAGCAATCAAATTCATGAGGTTGGGCAAATTCTGTCGGTAAAAAGCCTCCCGCAAGGCGCGGACTTTGTCGGTTCGC